GAGAAAACAGCCTTCACTAACTATACACCTATAAATGAGAAAACAGCCTTCACTAACTATACATTCAAGGGCCAATGTCCAGGATGAGATTATTAGCAAGTTTAGTAAGAGATAATGTTCTCAATCTTAAAATTCCGTTAATTACTCAAAAAAAAAGTGGATCACATCCCAAGCAAATTTTTGAAGAACAATCCATATACATTGTACAAAAAGCTTTACCATTCAAGGATACACTGCAGGTGGAATTCATGCTTGCAAACAGTAACCTGCACCCAGTCAGGCATCAATAGTAAATTAGTAATTACTAATTAGTAAGAGCAGTCTATAATATATTATGTGAAACGCGATGCATACTGTTGAAGGATCACTATCACAAAACGGTTCAAGGCATATGCTGCAGGAATCATCACAAGCATCCTGAACTCCACCTTCCACGAATGCTGCAGCTGAACACAGATGCTTGTCTCCATCCTCCATCTTCACAAAATATAAAATAATGAGTAACAAATGAAGATTAAACATTTAATTACCAATGGAACATGTTTTAATGGTTGCGGTGCGAGGTAAATGCTAAGGATTAATGCTTGAAAGTATCAAGGAAACAAAGACAAATGACCATCAGCATAGCTGGCCATATGTATGTACTCATGAACTATGAACAAATGAAGAGATATAACCATAGCCTACACCTAAATTCTATGACAAGCCAGAATATTCTATACACCCCTTATTTGGACATACAGTTCAACCATATCGCACCCAGTTGTAAAGTTCTGTACTAACTTGAAGGTATCATTAACGATCAAAGACCCCACTAAAAGTTTTTCCCTTTTGTATAGAGTAGTACATGTGGCTTCTTAGGTGACTTAGGCTTGCATGTAAGGAAACACTTGACCCAAAAAAGAACTGATATTTGACTAAGGCCCCGTTTGGCATCAACATTCAAGGTTAGCGTTAGCGTTTTGAAAAGGCTATCTGACGGTAGCCATTAGCGTTAGAGTTTTGAGAATCAATCTACACCATTAAAATTTTATCCAAAACACTAATTGAAAATGTTGTTCCCAAACAAGGCCTAATTCAAAACTTCACACAGCTATCATGAATCATACTTATATTTTTAGACTGTATTGTTGGTTAAAATAAATTTACTTACCAATTACCATGTATGTGACTCGCTTTGGCAAATCACAAGAAAATTTAGCTCATTTGATCCAAAAAAATCTCTTCTTGGAAAAAAATTAGTTCGAAACTTGATTCGTTTAGGGGACGGATTGAATATTCTACCATAGATAATCATAATTACAATGTTGATTTCATCATCTACAGTCTAATCCACATGAAAACGAACCAAGGAATAGTCCAATGCAGAGCACAAAACCAGTTAAAAAAAACCAAAGCTAAGACTTAAAACAAAAAAACGATCAACCCCAAATCCAGCAAAGTGATATTCCGATCATCGCGACATGACCAAGCAGAATGCGAAGAGCCCCAGTTCATCAGAAATCCAATTACAGAGTTATGCAGAAATTAGGAACACGAAGAGAGAAAAGTTAGTAACGAAAAGGAAGACTGACCTCAGGGGTGAGTGATCGAGCAGGTCAAGAACTGAGCAGAATGATTGAACGCAGATTGAAGTCTAGGGTTTGGGATGCACAATACAAAGTGAAATTGGGGATTAGATGATGGAGAAAATATGAAATCGGAGTCCGGTGGTCTTTGGACTTTTGCTTTTGGTGTTTTTACTTGTTCGTATTTACGAAGTACTCCGTATTTTGTTTATTTTTTTAAAAATTCTTTCTTTCTTTATTTTGTGTCGTAGAAAAGTGATAAGGATAAGATATTTTATTGCATAAGTGTATTGGGTTAAATTAGTACTCCATGTCAATTTTAAGAAATATTAAAATTATGAATATTGTTTGAATTTGCATAAATGAGCAGTGTACCTTGTATAATGTTATAACTTCGATATTTTATACGAATTACAGAGTAGTATTTTCTAATACTCTGTATTAATTATCTTTTGACACATTTTGACATTTAATTTTTTTATTTAAATAAAAAGCGAATTTAAAAATTACTTTAATACAATTCAGGTTTTGAGCTTGTCCTGCCTTAAATAAAATTTAAACTTTTATCATTTTCAAAATACTTTATAAATTACTCCGTACTTGTGTTTTTATACAAAATAAAATAAATGATTGCCAATAGGATCCCTCTTTATTTTCTTATTTGTTTATAATTTTTTTATATTTTATGAAATTGGACTATGATCTTTTTTTTGAAGGAATGGACTATGATCTTTATTTATTGACAAAGTACATAATTTTTTGCTTATATCATTAGATTTTACTCCCTCTGTCCACCATAGATCTTCCCAATAGCCTTTTTTCTTTGTCCACAATAGATCTTTTCATTTCATTTTTTAACAATTAAAAAACCACAACTACCCCCACTTACTTTATTTATTACGCCTCACCCACCTCATTTAATATACTCCACCATTTTCATTAAGGATATTATGGTAAACATTCACCTTTTTTCAACTCTCTTTAAAAACCACCAAAGTCAAAATGAGAACATCTTAGGGGGACGGAGGAAGTAACATTTTTTTACTTTTGTCTAGGCATAGAAACACAATTATGTTATAGATGTACCACAGAGTATTTCACAAACTATACAGAATACACTAAAAAGTACTCCCTCCGTCCTATAATGATCTTCCCGGTTCGCAAAACGAAGAAAAATCCCAAATTTTTTCAATCTATTTTATTTAAATATTGGTATAGAAATAAAAAATAAAACATACATATTTAAAAATTATACCAAAAGTTCAACAAAACAAGTAGTGACAAGAATATTTTATTTTATCATATAGGCCATGAAAAAACACAAATAAATATAAATTCCCGTGAAGTTGGAATAATGTTCTGGGAAGATCATTGTAGGACGGAGAGAGTATTATACTAATATTTTATGTCTGTATGAATTATTACAATGGTATCACATATATATTATTGATCAGATGCACTAAAAGGTATTACACTAATATTTTATATCCGTATGAATTATCACAATGGTATCAATTGTTTGGATGGTGATAAGTTGGCAAGAAAGAAAATGTGAAGTGAGAAAACATAATTTCCAATGTATTTTCTATTGTTTGTTTACAATTTACATATGGAAACGAAGAGAGGAGAGAAGAAGCGAGTGAGTCCAAGTTTAAAATTTTTCTAAAAAATAAAACTACAATTTTGCACATATTTTAATCTTTCATCATTCATTTAAAAAGAAATAAAAATATCTTTTTGTTTTATCCTATTTATTTCTTCTCACTCTTTTTCATCATTTTTCTCATCATTCAAACAACCATTATTTTATTTACATTTTCTTACAATCTTTTGTCACCATTTTACAATTTTGCACATATTTTAATCTTTCAACCATTATTTCCTCACATTTTCTCGTGTCATCCAAAAAAGGGACAATGAAAGTGCACATATTTAGTGTATAATAATTTGAATACAAATTTTGGTATAGAAGAAAGCTAGTTGGTAGAAGAAAGAGAATAAAATCAACAATGTAACTCTCCAATCATTTCCTCCCATACTTGAACCAAAAAAACCTTTACAAACCAATCATGAAATTGCAATTTAATCTCTGCAAATGGTATAATAATACTCCGTAAGAAAATGTTGTATAATAGCACTGTACATATCAATCCTCCCTCTCCGACGTGCTCCTCCAGAACCCGCCTCTGTAGAACCGGCCCCACATCTCCGTTTCGAATTCGTCGGAATTCGCCTCTTCGTGGGACCCACAAATCTCCTCCGTCTCGGCGCCTGCCGGCGAAGAGGCGGTGCTGGCGCCCTCCGACGCCTGCATCTTCCTCCTCTTGATCAGCAGCCGCTTCCGCTTATTCCTCCTCCACGCCTTCCGGCACAGGCCGGCCGGGACCTTGTACAACGCCAGCACCAGGAAATCCAGCGCCGCGCAGGGGCAGCAGCAGCACACCGTCGCGCACTCCGCCGCTGTACTGCCGGCGAATTCGCCGAACCGGCGGTGGTTTCCCCGCCTGAATCCGCCGTCTTCGCTCCTCCCGCTCTCCCTCCCCGTCCGATCCATCGTCCGCAGCAGCGGCTTCCTATTCGCCGCGCCCCGCTCGGCCATGAATCAACATTCCAGAATCAAAATAGCGATCAAATCGGAAAAGTTAATCGGCTTCCCGATTGGTGTTTGCCGGAGAATCTAAAGGGAATCGGAACCCTATCGGGAACAACGAATGGGAATAATATTGGTTGAAATCGAAAAGCGATTAGGAGGAAAACTATTTTTTTTATTTTATTTCGAAAATGTTCCGCAAAATACGGATTACTAAATTGGGACGTGCGGATAATTAGGCATAAATGACATCATGTGCTTTGTTTATTTGATGGACAAAAATGTCAAGCTGTAATGTTTGTTTGAAATGGCTATAAATATTAAATGTGGATTTGATTGATTTTTGGCTAAATGATGCTACATGAAGTCCGAAATTAATTTTAAATATTTGCTATGTTGACAATTTTAACAATTGTTAGTATAAGGTTTGTTTCATTATAAAAATAATAGACGTCATATTTTATTACGGAGTATATGAAGTTTGTTTTTAATTTTTAACCTTTGTTAAGTTTTTTTTTCTACTTTGTCTTATTTTAGGGGAGTAGAATTAATGTTCCCTTGCTCTCAATCAATTCATCTACTTTTTTGTACGTCTAGTTTCAAAAAATTTATTTATTACGGAGTATATGACAAAAAATAGGTGTTTACATTACGATTTTATCTTTACTTTTTTCAAAATATATGGTGTCAATTTATTACACTAAGATCAGCTCTAATGTGTAAATCAAAAGTAAAGAACAATAATTATCAAATCTACCTTTTTGTCACATAAGTTTATCCTCCTGATAAGGTAAGATATATTATACTCTGTATCTTTTTTAATTTTGGAAAGATATATTTATCTCATTAATTTTAGAAGGTATACAAATTTCTTCTCTTTCTTTAAACTATCTTTATTTTGAGAAATTTATATTTATCTTTTCTATTTACCTTCTTCCATTAGAATCAATAACTTTTTAAATAGATATATTTACTTTTTTGAAAAGATAAATGAGTCAAAATACCTTCTCAATTTACATTGTTCTAAAGAGATTTTGCTCACTTTATACATTTCCATTTCAAATTTCCAAACTAATTTTTTGTTTTTTTTCGTAGAATCATAGAAGTCTTCCATTGGTAGAGTAGTGGGAAATATCTCCGCCGCAGCTGTGGGTAGACCCGCCGCGAAGCTTCCGGACGCGGTATCACTAACCGCCGCGAAATTCCCCAGTCCTTCTCCATTCTTCCCCTACCCCCTCCCTCTGCATATATATACACCCACCCATCCATGGCCTACAACCTCCATTATCATCATCTTCCATTCGAATCTCAATCCAAGAACTCATCTAAATTCGATCTAATCAGTGGGTGTCAAAGATCAATCAGCATTTCAGTGACGGGACAGATTTCCCAGCTCAAGAAATCAGAAGCTTCAGTGATTTTCACACTCAATTAGCTCTCACCAATGGCGGAACAAGACGCCCTCTATTCTTCCAAGAACTCAAAGAACCCATCGGAAAGAAAGGGGACGAAGCAGATGATGGACAGCGGCGAGTGCCTGGGGAGAGTTTTCGCGTACTTCGACGAGAACGGGGACGGGAGAGTGTCGCCGGCGGAGCTGCAGAGGGGGGTGAGGGCGGCCGGAGGGGAGCTGACGGCAGAGGAGGCGGAGATGGCGGTGCGGCTGTCGGATTCCGACGGGGACGGGCTGCTGGGGCCGGAGGACTTCGCCAGGATGATGGAGGAGGAGGGGGCGGCGGCGGTGGCGGCAAGGGAGGAGGAACTGCTCGGAGCTTTCAAGATGTATGTGGGGGAGGGAGGGTCGGAGATCACGCCGAGAAGCTTGAAGAATATGATGAGGCGGCTCGGGGAGGCGGCAGACACCGAGAAGTGCAGAGCTATGATCACCATGTTTGATGTTAATGGAGATGGAGTCTTGGACTTTGAAGAGTTCAAGACCATGATGATGATGCAGGGACAGGCTTAAATACATGTGTATATACATATATTATATATATACTCCATATAGATTACATGTAGCAAATACTCTCTTACTTTATATGGACCATATTGCCATTTTTATTTCATGAATCATCATATATCAACAGCAAGAACGTAACGATGAAAACACAAGATAAAAAGAAACTAACACAGTAATAATCTGATGATATTAACCCTAAGAATGTACCCAGCATTGTATGAACAGAGTTTGATCATGTTCATCCATCCCTAAAACGAACACCTAAAAACAAACTGTGATGTCATCATTTTCACAATGAGGTCAGGCAACAATGGGCTGTGCAAGAGGGGGTGGGGTGGGGTGGGGTCACTTGTCGCGGCCCAACCTCGCCAAATGCTTCTGGTGCTTAGCAGCAGCAGCCTTTTCTGCAGCTTCCCGCTTCATGGCCCTTTTAGCCCGCCGCCCCACCAACTCATCACTGGGCTCCTTTTTCTGGGCCAGACGTGATGGGCCATCATCGCTGGGCTCCTTCTTCTGTGCCAGACGTGATGGGCCAGCATCCGAGTCTCGGTAGTTGGGTCGGTTGGCGGGCCTGGCCTCTTGCCTGCCAGCCCTTACAAACCCATTGTCTCCCCATCTCCTGTTGCCTAACCGAACGCCAGATGAGCTGCATAAGTAAGCCTCATCAAGATCATCTTCCTCTTCATATTCATCGTACAGGTAGAAGTCATCCGTGTAATCATCAATCTCTGGTTTTTCGTCCCCTGCCAAAGGACGAAACCACGTTGCTCTTAAAAGAAGGCACACGCTCTCTTCAAACATGTAGTCGTGTATGCTGTTGAGGTAAGACATGGCATATTTTCTTAGAAGAATCCAAATTCAAAGCTCAAAGATACGAAGAAATCAAAATCAGTGATCAAATCTCACACACACACACACATATATATATATATATATATATATATATATTTTAACCAGAACAAAACAATACAGCCTTTTCAAGGAATGATATGATATCATGCCACTTTAAATGCAAGTGGCCAGACTGACCTTCCATCAAGAGCACGGTGGATGTTCAGAAACTCGAATGGATGCTTACACTGGGGGCATGTGGCATCTTTCTTGTGAGCTGCCCAACGAAGAATGCAAGTCACACTGAACATAGAGGTCAATAGTGAGAAAAATATTAGCTTTGACAACAATTTAAGGAAAACACAATCTAAGGATTACGGTGAATGGTTCCACACATTGCCTAGGTGATGTATCATTGGAACCGTTATGAATATAAAACATGACAGATAATCAGGTTGCATGCATTAGAGTAAGATAATTGTTTCAATGAGTGCAACGTGCTAGATAATCATGCTATTATCCCGTCCTGAATTCAAAACAACTAAATTGGTAGTCAGATGTTTGACAAGTAGATATGAATCAGCCCAACAAAGAAGTTCACTGTTTAGCTTCAATGAATTTAAATCAATGTTGAAAAGGGAATAGTGTATGGTTGGAATGTGTTGAAAATAGAGAGTTGTTGTGACTTGTGAGCCACCAATTCTTTTCTTAACTTCTTTAAAATGAAAAAGGGATAAGTGTGAAGTTTCTTTGAGACATACAAACAAGGAAAATGTTCTTTATGGGAAGGAGGGAGGGTGGCAATAAAACACAAACATTGTTATCTCTCAATATAATCGAGAACTAATGACCACTCCAAGAGAATTAGAAAACCCCGAATCATAAATCTCCCCGTCATAAAGATACAGTGTATAAAAATATTAAAAATAGCCACAAGGCCTGCAAACCTTCCCAAATATTTTGGATGAAAAGATACTCTGTATGTGATTTTTAAAAGTCCATCCGAATTTCATAACATTCTTTTCAAAGGACTATTATAGTGTTGTGAATTTTCAGAACCAAATAAATTCATGACATGACTAAAAGAAGACAACTCTGTGTGTGGCATGCATGAGGGTCAAGAACCATAAAACATAGTTAGTCATCCATTTGTGTTGCTGAAGTTACTAACAAGGATCCTATGATTGCCATCTCTCATGCAGCCAAAATATAAACCACTAAAACAAGTATGAGAGCGACTAACCAATACGCATGCTCGCAACCTTTCACAAGAGCAGTCTCCTGTAGCGCAATCTTATTCAAGCAAATTGCACACATCCCATGATGATCACTCTCGTGTCCAACGTGAAGAACCTCCGCATCAGTGCTCTTGTTATTTCTCTGAAAATTCAGACCCATATCAATACCACCAAACTTATATCCCCAACCGGAAATCATCATCATCTTCATCATTTCATCAACACCTTAATCCCAACTATGATTGGAAGATGACATCAAATTTATTGTGTCAACTAATGATGTGAATTTATTGAGAACTAATCAAAGAAATAAGCACAGTTGAAATTTTAACACAAAAACATCTGCTAATCACGAGAAAATGATAATTGCAATAGATCGACAACCCAGATCTCTACATTTTATTGATTCCAGGAGTTGAACATATCAAAAATCTGAACACAAATCTAGCAAAAACAATAAAAACATGAATTACAATTCGATGCCGGATAAAAAACAAAAAGTTGAACCTGATCTCGGGTAAAGAGATCTCTGGTTTGGCAGACGAGCTCTTCAACATCGATCTCCACGGCTGCGGCCATTAATCTTTACAAATCAGAATCGAAGAATAAAAAATAGGTTAAGATGAGACGAACCGATCTAGTCTGTAAGGGTTATGTGTTCCGCCGAGTTATATGAAGCCGGAGGGAAAAAAATGAAAGAGGCGATGGCGTTTGGTGGTGGCGGGTGGAATAGAAAGATCCGAAAGAATTATTCGGATTCCCTGCAAAGGCCTGCTCCTAATTAATAAATAGTATCCCTAAATCTTCCAAAATATTTGTCCAATTTATATTTTTGAAATAAAATTAACAAAAATTACTATCTGGTACTTTCAATTTTATGATAATATAAATCCCAAGTCTCACATTTTCTAAATTATACCTTAAGGTACCTTTGATTTTCAAATAAAAACTTTCAAATCTCACATTATCTAAAATATAAATTTTGTGGTAATGTACTCTGAAGGCACATTTCGTTTATTTGGCCCTCGTAATGGAAATTTGTGTTACTTTAAAAAATATTAAACTTTACATTGATAATCATTATTTTATTAAATTAAAATAAAATTCATCAATTTGTCTAAGTAAAATAACTTTTAATGTAACGCCTAAATTGAGATAATGTACCGTTTGAGTATAATATCACAACGTTTAAAAAACTCTGTGTATATTCTAAATAATGTGGGACCTGAGAGTTTTTACAAAAAAATTCAAAGGGACCATAGAGTATATTTCAAAAAATGTGAGATCTAGGAGTTATTCACACTAATAATTTGCTGTTGTTAATAGAATGGTATTTTTTTAAACACTAATAATTCTTTTATAATACATTCATATTTTTCTTCCAATAATTGAAGTTCACACAAATACTCATTCCACTCACATTTGAACATGTAATATCCCATTTTTGAGAGCTACAGTGATATTGTTAGAGTACATGGTGTTTGGTGCAAATAAGAGAATGACAAACCAATAATTATAGAGAATAGATAATATACAACCGGGTGTACCTTGAGCTAGGTGCACTCTGTTAATGTTCATTTTGAATAACGTATTCATTCTGAAGTAGCGTAGTGTTTATTTTCACGCTTTTATTCATTACAATTATAATACTCCATTGTTTTGAAAACTATTGAAAATGTGATTATAATTAAATAAAAAATTAAATATATTGATTATAAATAATAAAATAATATAAAAATATACGGAGTATATTATATACAAAGTAGAATACGGAGTATGTAATTAGAGTAAATATAAAAAAAGAGATAAACTCCGTATAAAACACTCACTATCATTTTTTTCAGAGTTTTTGGAAGTTGCGGGAAATATAGATGAGAGGGAGGAACTGGCGGAAATAAGCTGAAAACTGGAAACCCGAACTGTGGACACGTTTCCCTTTTCACATTTCTGAACAGTTTCTGGTCGAAGCTATACTCCCAATCTCTGAATCTCCTGCTGCCCCCTTGAATGGTGAAAAACCCTAAATCAGGTCTGCTTAGCCTTAACAACACTTTCTATATCTGAATTTTGGCTCTGGCGAAATGTTGTGCTGTGGCGATATATATATAAGCTGTGAATTTTCGCTGCAGAAGATACAGATACTTGGGCGTAATCATCATCATCATCATGTACATAAAGCAGGTAAGTATTAATCTACAGTTATCAGTGTGTGTGTGTGTGTGTGTGTGTGATTCCCAGGAACATCCATTTTCAAATAATTCAATCCAGTTTTGGAGGATTTATGCCATGTATGTATATATACCCGCACCATTGAATGCCTCACTGAAGTTCTAATGTGTGCATGCTTGTCTGGATTTTCATTTTTGCGGGGTTCATTTTGGTGCAGATTATAATTGAAGGGTTTAAGAGCTACAGAGAACAGATAGCTACTGAACCATTCAGTGCAAAAGTGAACTGCGTTGGTAATGATGTCGTGCATCAACTATTACATTTCATTTTAGTTGTGAAAAATCTCAACAAAGGAACACTATGGTGCTTACATTTCATTTTAGTACTTTGTTTCTTGCCTGTTTATCATTCACCTGGTATGATTGTAATTATTATCAGGTGTTTGAAGGCTTATCTTTGTGTCCAACAGTCCATTAAGCTATACACACACACACACACACACAAGTCACATTGTCTAACTACTATTTTTGTCTCTTTCACCATTTAGGCATGTCCCAAATTTTCCACTCTCATATCATATTTGTTATGAATTATGTGGCTTAGACCAATTTATACCTAGAGGTTGAGTATTAACCACACAATTCTGCTTTCACTGAATTTGTGTGCCACTCTCCCATGTTCTAGGATTACTGGGACGTAAGGATTACTTAATCTATCCAAAATTCAAAGTTAAGCATTTCAGAGTTGGCTCAATTGAGTTATATGACTTGTACTTGCTCATTTGATTCACCTTTTGGTGTGAGTTCATTTTTTTGGACAACTTCATTGTTTGACTTCACGGGGTTTAAAGCAAGTGTTGAAAAAGTTAAAAGTGTGTGGTTGGAATTTGTATAGAAGAGAAAGAATTATGATGAGTCACATATTTATTTTATTGGAAAGGCATGATAAAAATGTGATGTTTATTATCGGATGAATGGAAAAGGAAAGTGTGAAGTCAATTTCGGGACAAAAAGAGTATTTCTTTGTAATTGATGATGTAAGTTATGGCATGGTTAGTCACTGATTCAATCTCAATACTACTTATTTGAACTGAACTCAATGATACTGAACTTAACTTAACTGAATGGTATTGAATTGAATGATACTGGCCTGATTGTAGTGTAATTTTGAACTAAGCAGTGCTGAACTGAATGAATTGGACTAAAAGGTACTATAAATAAGTTATATCGAACGATCCTTAGTCAAGAGGTTTATATTACCCCTATGTTTAATTGACTTTGATGATAGAGTAGCTATCTCAATTATTTCAGAAATTGCATCAGTTATTTAGTACTCCCTCCGTCCCGAATTAATCGTCCCAGTTTGGCTTCACAGAGTTTAAGAAAAGTGTTGAAAAGTTAGTAAGGAAGTGAGACATTTATTTTGGGACGGATTGAAAAGGGAAGTGAGACGTTTAATTTGGGATGGAGGGAGTATGATACATGGTACATGCGAGTTATTTCTTTGGATTATTCTTGTACTATATTTTCTTAAGTATTTGTCTCCTCATTTTTTCACATACCTCTTATTGGATTATTCATTCTTCAACAAGATGCTTATTTTGATTGCTTTTCTTGTTTCATTTCACACAGTTGGTGCCAATGGATCTGGCAAGTCAAACTTCTTCCAGGGTAGGTAACATTGAAATTGTTTTGCCCCACAATTTTCAATTTTATTTTTCTAATATGTTCATGCCTTTTTTGTTTAGGTTTAAATTTTCTCTCTGATCTGCTGTGGACTGTTTTTTTCTTTGTTTGCAATTTCTCTCAGCAATACGCTTTGTCATAAGTGACCTCTTTCATAACCTGCGCAGTGAAGAAAGGCATGCCTTGCTTCATGTATGGTCTTCAGAGATTAGTTCTTTTAGTAATTCTTCTTCATTATGCATCTTGAAATACATCTATAGGATCATTGAAATGGTACTTTTTGTTGTTCAGGAGGGTGCAGGCCACCAAGTATTATCGGCTTTTGTGGAGATTGTGTTTGACAATTCAGACAACCGAATCCCGGTATTTTCTCGGTGATTTTTCTTAATGCACTTATTTAAACACTTCAATTCAAGTCAGAGCCATTATTATGTTACTTCTCATTGCTCTTTCCGGCGTATGGAGCAACTTTCAACCTAGTTATGGTATTGAACTAGACTGACATAACCAGTTGAAATTTGGCAGTGGGGCTCGTCTGCGTTTCTGTTTTGCTTGTTTGTCCTGCATCCTGCTTCAACTAATACATTAATTGCATTTCAAGTTTGAATGCCACTGAGGAGTAATAGTTTACTGTCCATCTTGTTTGAATAATTTAGCTTGGGTACCATATTGGACTCGGGAGTTCATCAGCAAATTAGCGCCTACCATTACCCTTTGTTTTTTTTTCTGATTCCGTCTTGGAATGGAAATGCTTGCTGCAGTGACCAAAAAATGGTGCAACCATAGACTTTCGAGTTTGTGTGGAAGGAATACGTTCCTCCATAACTCTATTTAATTCGTGAACACTGTCTGTGCATTCTAGCTTGTTTTTGCTTATTAATATGCCATACACGAGACTTTGAGCGTTTGAACTCTGAAAGCTATAATTGCAGCTTCAATGTCTAAGCGGTTATATCTTATTTTTATTTACAGACAAGAAGCTTACCTATTTGTCATCATGTTAGTTCTTTGCCTAGTTTTTTACAAAGTTTCTTATTGGCAGGTTGATAAGGAAGAAGTACGCTTGAGAAGAACAATTGGGCTAAAAAAAGATGAGTATTTCTTAGATGGAAAACATATCACGTGGGTATCTAATATTCCATTTTAAGAGAGTTTGTTTACTCTCACCAGTCACACTGTGATGTTCTATTTGGAGCCATTTGATGAATGTTACTGGCAACCCCCCCCCCCAACCCTCCAACATTGTTTCAGGAAGAATGAAGTAATGAATTTACTGGAAAGTGCTGGATTCTCCCGTTCTAATCCATACTATGTTGTGCAACAGGGAAAGGTTTGATGTTGTTGCACTTTCTGCTTGTTTTAGTTATGATTTTGCGCGCGACATGCACATTCTTGTATTGATTTGCAGATAGCATCACTGACATTGATGAAAGATCCAGAGCGACTTGATCTTCTGAAAGAAATTGGTGGCACACGAGTTTACGAAGAGAGACGCCGAGAAAGTCTGAAGATTATGCAAGAAACTGGTAAACACTGCAGTTTGTTCACTCTTAGTCTCTGATATGCTTTTATCTATTTACCAACTCCTATAATGTTCAGGTAATAAGAGGAAGCAAATAATTCAAGTTGTGCAATACTTGGATGAAAGGTTAAGAGAGCTCGATGAAGAAAAAGAGGAACTTAAAAAATATCAACAGCTCGACAGACAGAGGAAATCTCTGGAGTACAGTGTATTTGATAAAGAACTTCAAGATGCAAGGCAGAAATTGGCAGAGGTAATTTGTGATATATGCTTCTTGTAAAATATATGGTTGACACTTTTTTCCCTTCTAACTGTATTCTACTTTTTATTGGTCTTATCTTATTGTTCTTCCATTTTTTAGAAGACATGTCGGTTATGTGCTTTGTGCTGGCTAAAGAAATGTCTGTCAGGGCCACCGCTTACCTGAAGTTGGATAATTCATTTGTGCTAAATATCTATTTCAGAGAGAAAACTCCTAGGAATTGATAAATATTTCTATACGGAAGTTTGAAAGAGGGATAGTTGGATTCCTGGGATTATAGTATCATTCTATAATTGACCTTTTGTGAAGCTACTTCAACAAAATTTTCAAGCACCTTCTTGGTTAAGGCTTGTTGAGACATCTATTAGAACTACGTTTTATTTATATATAGATTTTTTGCAGGTTGATGATACTCGCAATCAAATTTCCGAGACATCTACTAAGATGTATGAAGACGTGTTGAAGGCACACGAAAGCGCTAAGAAATTTGAGAAGTTGTCCAAAGATCTGACAAAGGAAATTCAAATTTTAAGCAGGGAAAAAGAAGCTTTAGAGAAACAGCAAACAGGAGCTGTGAAGAAGCATACTGAGCTTGAGCTCGATGAGAAAGACCTCCGGGAGAAGATCAGTGTGAATTACAAAGCCAAGGTAGACCATGCACTGCTACTATAAGCAGGCAGTAGCATGCTTACAGATTGAGAAGTGGGGGCCCTAATTTTGTTTATGCACAATTTATTTTTAGGACGAAGCAATCAAACAACTTCACCTTTTGGATAGGGAAATTCAAGTTTCATCTGATAAACTCAATAAGATTACGACTTTGTATGAGAAACAAGTTCAAGAGGAGGATGATTTAACAAAGAGGTATGCCTAGAATTTCACTTGGTTTAACAATATAGCATCCTCAAAGCTGTGCTTGATATGATGTTCAACTACCTTTTTGCATTTACGTGGTTTAATGTTGGAACCTATCCCAACTCCATTGGGGTATGAGGTCACGATGTACACAACCTTACCTCTTTGAAAAATAAAATAAAAACGTAGACCATTTCTGTTAGACCCTTGATGCATTGGTGAATTTACTGCCCAAAACATCATATGAAGTAGTAAGAAAGGGATGTGGAATGCGCCATTTTGATTTAATACATTATCTACCCAAAACTTAAACATCGTAAAAAAGAACTCTTTTTGCTCCATTGTCAATATACGTAAAACAGTCTCTTTTTATATATCCTAATTAAGCCTTTTTATTAGTAAGACTTTTGTTGCAGTGAGTACAATCTTTTTTAAAGCAATATAGCATGTCCTTATACATGGGATGACTTTCTAAAGTCAAGTTAGTATCTTAGAAGTTTTATGATAGTGGTACATGCTAGATTAATTTCCCTTTAAGTTGTGATCTAGTAGTTTAGTTTAGTGGAATACATTTAAGAGCATGTCTAAACCTAAAATTTTTAGCCAATGTTTGGAGTGTTTTCCATGTATATATGCTAATGTGAACCCAGCCTGGATTGTTGCATGAGTACTTGAAACTTTTTCTTGAAAGCCCCAGCTCCCATGAATTCAAATGTAGAAAAGGTCTTACTAAAGAGTGAAGACTTGTACATGTGCTTTGACGGCCATGAGATTTTGGTTCGGGGGTACTAGAATGCTTCTTGATCAACCCATGTATTTTAGAAAAATTTGTATCCTTATATTCAAAGCAAAGGTGCTGAAAAGTTACTAGAATAATAATATCTATACCATTAATAGTTTAGGAGGTGCGGGCACCATACTCCAGAGTCCTATTCCTATTAGGTAAACTTAAACTCTGTTTAAATAAACAAAGTTTTAAAAATATCATATTTGGGCTATCATAAATGGCACTATGAAATTTTACCAAGCAATTGAAAGATATCAATATTGGGTCTCTCTTCATGTGTTTTGGATTTCTAACCACTCTTGTACGCGTCATTGTGATCCATTAAATTATTCTCTGTCAAAGGAGGATCACCATCAGTCTTTATTGTCTTCTCTTGCACTTGGTTTGATTCTTTGTTCCATCAGATGTTGATATAACTTTTAATGCTTGTTGAATTTCCCCCCCTCAAAGTTCCATGGTGATTAGTTCTTCAAGCTAATTGATTAGTAGAGGATCTCTCACTCTCATTTGTGATCTCTGTTATACATTAGTGCTCTGTACCTTACATTTCAGCTAAGTAGTGCTTTCTCATCCTAATTCAGTAATTCACAAAGGAAATCCCATGTAACCTTCTAAAAGCTTAAATAAAGATATCATGAAAAAACTTTTCTTTGCTTGCTCCCCCTTATTTTTTTCCCTTTGATACCAATATACCATTTTCCCTTAATAATCTTAGTGATAAACTTGCTCTCCTTGTTTTCAAACAAACAACAAAAGTGGCCTAGTAAAGCCCCAGAAGCCTGGTCTCAGGAGAGTGGATGCAATCTTACCCCTATTTGAAAAGGTGGAGAGGTTGTTTCTAAGAGAACATAATATCTTAAACTTAGGACAATCAACTAACAAAGAGAAACAGTAAATATACAATAACTACAGAATAAAAATGGGTAAATAGAGTAAGTACGAGCACACAAATCCTAAAATAAACAAACTCCTATGGCCTTATAAATAAACCTGTACATACAAGGGTCAGCTCGGCCAGCCCGTCCTCAAAAAGGGAAGATACAGGCCTTGAAGCCCGGTGGGCGGATATGGGTATAGCTTTTAGCCCATGTGATTCAGGCTGGGTCGGGCCCACCCTTAAAAGGGTAATTATTTGGTTTTGAGCCCAGCCTGGATCCGTGTTTGCACAATTCTACTTACAAATGCCCTATTCTTTTCAAACTTTTATTCCACTTACCCAGAGTCCCAGACCAGACTCCAGATTCTAGTGCTTTGAGTCTGTTTCCAGTTATCAGGTTCCAATTACCATTTCCAGTTAAAATCTATTATGAATTTATAGTATATTTAATCTAGACTATATTTTTAAAAAAATAATCTAGACTCTAGTTGCTATTTAGAGATCATGTGATCCGAGCATTATTCAAAACAAAGAACAAAATTATAAAAGTTTGCAGTTATATTTGCAACATACCAAAAGAAAAGTGCAATATACCCAAAAAATCATCTTTTTGCAGCATACCAAAAAAATTGGAGTAGATGAAAAAATTATATATATATATATATACATACATATATATATATATATATATATATATATTCATTTATAATGTTACTCAATTTAGATTAGTGGAATTGTACTCAATTTAGATTAGGTTTTACGCCTTTTGAGTTTTGAGTAGCCTAATGGGTATGTCATATTTTAAATAAATATATAAACTTAAATAACTAATAAAAATAAGCAATTAAGTGCATAACCCATTGGGTCAAACCCGACCCGACCCGTTCTGACCCGAAAATTTGATGGGTCTTCGGGTTTGGGTCATTTCGGGTTCGGGTCGCAAAATCGATGTTCAAAACCCGCTAATTTTGGGTCGGGTTTCGGATTAATAACGGGTCGGGTCAAATTTTGCGTTTGCCAGGTCTAGGTTCGAGGTTCTATAGAATCCAGTCATTGGTCTCCAGTAGACCTGGCAAAACTGACCCGGACCCGATAACCCGAACCGAATAACCCGGAACCGAACCCGATTTGACCCGAAAACTGAAGAACCGAAATAGAACCAAACACCCGAAATGATCCGAACCGAACCGAACCCGAACCGAATGTATTCAGACCCGAATCCGATTAAACCCGAACCGATTAAACCCGAACCCGATTAAACCCGAACCCGGTTAAACCCGAACCCGGTTAAACCCGGAAACGATTAGACCCGGAACCGATTAGACCCGAAACCGATTAGACCCGAAATTGATCAAATTAACTAATATTTCATTTATCAAATGAATTTGGAAAAAAAGAATTACCTATATATTTTTAAAAATATTCAATATAATAAAATTAACAAAAGTCTTTTTTATAAGTATCTAATATCATTTTTATTTAGTTTGAAGTCAAAATTTACTAAATTTAACCAAAAAAGTCAAAAGTAAACAAATACTCGGCGGCTGAGGAAGAATTATTTTTATATATAGTTATTATAATATTTGAAACACAAAATGAAATGGATAGTTTAATAGAAATTTAGGAAGTCGAAGTAAAATATTAACTACAAAGGTTGCACCGAAAACTTTAAGAGGGAAAACTTTAGAAACAATTAGTCAATTATATAAGTGTTTATTTTTTATGTACGTCTGTCTTCAATAAAACGGAGTAAAATAACTACGAAGTATGTCATAAATTAACTAGATTTGTTATGTGATATTATTCATTTATTAGTATGTGTTTACATTATATTTGAACTAATATAAATTTAACCCGATATAAACTCAAATCAATACAAATCCGAACTGATACAATCACAAACNGATACAAACCCGAACCGATACAAACCCGAACCGATACAGACCCGAACCGATATAAACCCGAACCGAAACCGAACCGAAACCGAAAACCAGTCAAACCAAAATAAACCCGGAACCGAACTGACCCGAACCGACCCGAACCGGTTATAACATATATCCGAAAGAGACCCGAACCGAAAAGACCCGACCCGAACCCGAACCGATTGACCCGATTGCTAGGTCTAGTCTCCAGTTACCAGACTCTAGGCTCGAGTTAAAATTAATGCAAAAAGAATAGGGCCAAAGACAACCCTCTACACCTAACTCCATTTTATAATGCGAAAGCCAAGTCAAATTACTCTACAACTCTAATCATCGACCTCCAAACTATGATATCTAGGGTGATGTCCTTGGTGAACTACATAAAATGATAAACATATCATGTCTAATTCTCTAATCACCCTAACCCAACTCTATTTCGGCCTACACCTACTGATCCTTGAACTCCCCACATCTAACCTCTTGCACATGGTCACAAGCACCAATGTACTTTCTCTGCATTTGCCTAGACCATTTTAAACTCGATTCACGTAACTTGTCCTCCACAAAAGCCACCCCATCTTGTTTCATATACCCTCGTTCCCAACCTTTTCCCTCCTCATATTTACACATCCACACAAGCAACCACATCTCTACTCTCAGCTTCTTCACGTGAGTGGCCTTAACTGGCTAACGATCCACCCCATATAGCATAGTTGGTCTGACCACTATTCTCTAGAACTTACTCTTTAAGTTTCAGTGGCACGTTTTTGTTGCACAAGACTCCAAATGGGAGTCTCCATTTCACCCAGGTCGTTCTGATATGATAGCAACATCCCCATCAATCTCGACATCTTCATGGATGATTGATCCAGGGTACTTGAAGCAGCCCCTCCAGGAAATGGGTTGAAACTTGATCTTCACCTCTTCCTTCTCACGCGGTATGCTGCTGAATTTGCACTCCATGTACCCTGTCATCGTCCTGCTTTGTTTGAAACCTTTAGACTCCAAAGTTTGCCTCCAAACTTTAATATCTCCTTGTCTCCACATGATGAAAACTTTGAATTCTTGTCGATTATTTCATACTCCCTAGTATTCCTTTTCTAGCCATCCCACAGTATTTGTCCACTTTCCTTTTTAAGAAAAAACTCATGAAAAGACTATTCTACCCTTCGTATTCATTTACTCAGTTCTCTCGATTGCAAACCCATTTACTCCACCCACTTTCTATCTTCGCGCACCCTAGATCTCCTACTCTAGATCTGAATGGGTTAGTTCTTATTTCTTCTTCGACGATGGATTCACACTCGTACAGTTCTTTCTTCACTCCATTAGGTATTTCTTTCTTGTTCAATGCTCCATCTCTGGCTGGTTTCTACAACTTCCAATCTTATTAAATATTCTGATCCATTGATAAAAAGCAATTTGTTTATGCTTATATCAATAATGGATTTTGGATATTTGATCAGAATTCTAAATCTGAGACACTATTCCACAGATCTTCTATTACCTGTAGCTTATTCTCGCATGCTCTTGCGACAAGTCGTCGCCCTTTGCTACCAAGGATTGGATCCTTCGTCTCAGACATCGAAGGGCTGGGCGGCTCGACAATACCGAGGCGGGGGGAGGGTGGAGGGGCTGGGCTGCAGTGGACTGGACTACAAGGGGTGGGGTAGTGAAGGACACCCAAATTAAGGATTTTTGTGGCATTTTACACCTCACCTTGGTTTTAGTGCCAAGTAGAAAGTGGACATAAATTCAGGGACGGAGGGAGTATTAGAACTTTATTTGTCCTCTTTTGAGGTTGACGAATGACATATCTTTTCTACTATGCAGTATTATGGAACGTGAAAAACAGCTTAGCATTCTTTATCAAAAACAAGGGCGTGCTACTCAATTCGCTAACAAAGCTGCTCGTGACAAATGGCTTCAGAAGGAAATCAAGGAGTATGAAAGAATCTTGTCCTCAAACCAACAACAGGCAAGGTGTTTTTGTCAATATGTTATGTGGCCATAAAGTTTCTATTTACCATTTGCTTTAGCAGAAGGCATGTCCCCACGGGTTTAGTTTATATATAGTTGATTAGTGCGTGCCATCCTAAGCATTTTTACTTCAAGGTTTTGTGATCACTGCTAGGCCTCAGGCCAAAATCATGGAAATTTGCTCCTTTCATCATAACCTCTATGTCATAGCACAGTTTTGCACACACACTTTTGTAGTGCATATTTTTATAGCAGACATATTTCAGCCCACTGTTTTACTTCTCATTTCAATATAAAAGTAAATGCAATTTTGTCTTCATCTCTCAACAGTCAACATTTTGTAATGATTGTATTTCTCATTGGAACCATATCTTGATTGAGCTTACTTTCTCCAGGAGAGTAAACTCCGTGACGAAATTAATCAGCTACATAGAGACATAAATACTCAGGATGACATCATTATGCATCGTAAAAATGAAGCAACAGAGAGGGAAGCTGTCATATCTGGTTATCGGCAAAGTTACTCTGCCTTTAAAAAACAGAGAGATGAGTTACATGATGAACGGAAGTATGCCCATCTTTCATCTATATTAAGTTTTTTGATAAAAATCTTTTTGCATGTGATGTGATATGAACACGAGAGATTTTGTGCATTCCTTTGAATGACCTGTAGGTCTTTGTGGGAAAAGGAGAGTGAACTTAGTGCTGATATTGCTCGACTTAAAGCAGAAGTTGTGAAAGCAGAGAAAAGCCTAGATCATGCAACTCCTGGGGTGAGTAATAGCTACACAGAAATATGAAATCGTTTGGAAGTGACAAATATATCACTGAGTTTGGTGGTTTTGACTTGACGTAACATATTTAATCAGTATTGAAAAAGTTCTTTCATTAACACATTAAAGCAGACTGGTTTATTTTATATGTATTAGATAGCATGGAAATAACTGTTAAGTGCATTACTTCTGTGATGGGATCTACTGCAAGTTACTTAAATTAAACGGAATTCCTTCAATTCGGTATGCTGTATACAGGCAGGAAGGCATGTTCACAGAAACAGTTATTAGGAAAATATAATTAAACACATCTTGGTAATATTGTTATGAGGCTCCCTTTGTCATTAAACTTAAGTGCCTTTGAATTTAAAATTAAAAAGGATAATTGGGGCCTTGGGGGTGTTTAAACAAGCTGTAAACCCTGAAATCTCCTGACATGTATGTAATCTTGTTTATCTTTGTTGGTTATAGGATATTAGAAGGGGACTGAACTCAGTTAGGAGGATATGCAATCAATATAGAATCTTAGGGGTGTTTGGTCCAATTATTGAGTTGCTTGAGTGTGAGGACCGGTTCTTCACTGCTGTTGAAGTTACTGCAGGAAACAGGTATTATTTTCTGTTTAATTTTTTTACTGGCAAAGCTGTGATTACAATACACTGATCTAATCTTGCTAATGTATTTTGTTATAAATGTTCTCTTTTTGCTCATTGCAGCTTATTTCACGTTGTGGTTGAGGATGATGATATATCAACCCAAATTATCAGACATCTAAATGCAGAGAAAGGTGGGCGTGTCACATTTATTCCGCTGAACAGGGTGAAGGCTTCTAAAGTTTCTTATCCACAGAACAATGATGTGATACCACTTTTAAAAAAATTGAAGTTTTCGGACACACATACCAAAGCATTTGAACAGGTTGCTACAAATATATATTTTATAATTATGAGTATAGATGCTGTATAAGATTTCACAACCTTGAATCACTTTGTTGGTTTAATTATTTAAGCATTATATTGGTGCATTTCTCAGAGTAGTTACGGCATAAAAAATAATAAATCAATAGTTTCATAATATATTAGAGACACAACAACAACAACCCAGTTGGATCCCACGAGAGTATATTAGAGAAGAATAAGGAAAATGATTCCTACTTTTCAAGTTTGGGGGACTAAGGATTCTATGGAAACCGAGCTGTAAAGCATTTTGATGCTGCAAAACCCCTTTGTAACAAAAACCCCTTGTAACAAAACCCCTTGTAACTCCGAAAGAGACAATGATGCAAGAGTGTGTGTCATCCTCTGCAAGTTTTTTCTCTTTTTTCCCATATGGATGCATGAAAAGTAGCTTTATTCTCTGTATGGGAAGTCATACCATCCCATAAATTTCCATAGCTGAGTCATTTTATTGCTATCCTACTGAAGATATAAAGTTAAATGAAGCTCAACTATAGCATGCTTTTATGAACTTTTGTCTCAAAACATTTTCTGAAAGTGCTGAATATAAAAGTGTGAAGGGAATTTTTTCATTTTATTATACAATTATTTTACTAGCTGAATTAGGTTGAATTGTAAATTGCTGGGATTTGGATGTTTGCTAGGTGTTTGCTAGAACTGTTATTTGCCGGGATTTAGATGTTGCAACCAGAGTTGCCCGCACAGATGGTCTTGACTGCATTACTTTGGAAGGTTTAAGAGACTCGGTTTATGATTACTTTTAACTATTGCAGTGTTTGCCTACTGTACTAAGAAACTGGCACATTTCCTACTTGCAGGCGACCAAGTCAGCAAAAAAGGTGGCATGACTGGTGGTTTTTATGACCATAGACGCTCAAGACTGAGGTTTATGAAAACTATTAAGCATAACCATAGTGATATCCGTGTGAAAGAAAATGAATTGGAGGATGTTAGGAAAAAGCTTCAAGATATCCTTTTTACATCTGAGCTTCTAGTTTACTTTGCATTTTATTTTTATGCCGTAAGTTTTTAGCTCTGTTGTTGACATGCTTAAAGCTTAGTCTCCACTGTCTTGGTTCTTTACCTCTCTACATCTCCCCAATTCTTAATCCTGAATTTTAGAAAAGTAAAGTGGGGAAATACTTTCATGTGTCCCAAAAATTTCCCTTTTGGAATATAAGTGACCTTGCATGATGTGTGGGTGTTTGTGTATTTGATCCTAACATTTAAGAAAAAAAGCTATAATCTCTTGTGAATGAGTTTTTTCTCTTTAAAGTGCCACCTTTTACCATGCATATTCTACAGGATTAATTGCTATTCTAGTTGTGTCTTATCCTACTATTGTCCATCTTGCTCCATAATACAGGCACAGGCAGTCGAATTAAAATCTAATATGGCTTTGATTTAAAACTCTTGATAAAATACATAGTTTGCGTACTATACTGAGATACCAACATGTTTCTCGTTTGTTTTAATGACAATTACCATACCCTGTGAGTTCAGAGTTTGTTGGACATTAGTTTTATGTGTGAACATTCACCTGAAGAAATCGTTCCTTGTGTTTTCACTAAGCTTTTCTCACAGATGGACCAGAAAATTAATGAACTTGTGGCTGAACAGCAGAAGAATGATGCTAAGCTGGCTCATGACAAATCTGAGCTAGAACAGTTTAGGCAGGACATTGCAAATGCTGAAAGGCAGAAACAATCCATAGATAAAGCTCTTGAGAAAAAGGTATCCTCCATTTTATTATGCTTTATGTCCATTTTGTTTTGCAGATTAAAGGACCCTCAAGGCATGTGGGCATGTGGCATTCTAATGGCGTTTTTGGAACTGATTGAAATATTCATAGGAGAAACTACTGGCCAATGTTTTGACCCAAATAGATCAGCTTAGATCTAGTATAGCCATGAAACATGAAGAGATGGGAACAGAACTTGTCGATCACCTGACACCAGAAGAGAGAGAATCTTTGTCACGCCTGAATCCTGAAATAACAAATCTGAAAGAGAAGCTTATAGCATCCAAGGCTAACCGCATGGAGGTTTGTTCACATATTCAATGGAATAGTAGCACAAAAGTTCCTTTTTTTGTGCCATGTGTACATTTGATTATTATATGTGTAGACTGAAACAAACAAATCAGAGCTAGAGATGAAGTTATCAACAAATCTTGTAAGACGAAAGCAAGAGTTGGAGGCAGTCAAAGTGTCTGTAGACACTGATGCGCTCAGTACTGAAGCTGATTTAAAGGCACAGGAAGTAATGGAGGCTCATAAATTGATAGAGAGCTTGAACCAGCAGCTTAAAAGTGAGATATCATACTTAATATTCTCAATTCTGAAATTTTCATTGACATCTCATAATTAATCCTTTTAGGGGTTTCTGCAAACATAAATGAAAGAAATATGAAGCTCAAGGAGATCAAGGGTGAAATAGACAAATTGAAGGTAACTCTACTGCATTTCATGACAATTACCTTCCTATGGTTTTGATGTTTTGTCAGTGTCTTACAACAACAACAACAACAAACCCATTAAAATCCCACAAGTAGTATCTGGGGAGGGTGGTACGCAGACCTTACCCCCACTTGAAAGTAGAGAGGCTGTTTCAAAGAGACCCCCAGCTCAAGCACAATCACAGTAAACCAACAAAGAAGACATATAAGCACAGCCATAGTGAGAAGTGAGGACAGAGTAGTGGCAAAGGGTAAAGAGCAAACTAAGGGCAAAGAAAGAAAGCACACAGACAAAAAGCACACAAACCGGCCTTAGCACTAGACACCAACCAGACACTCACATAGAGCACATAGAGACGAGTGACAATGCACTAGGGCCTAGAAGACAACCTAAGTACTCTAGTCTTAAATATCCAGACATTCCTATCTAAGGCCATAGCCTGACTAAGGCCCAAAAGCCTCAAGTCCTATCTAATCACCTTCTTCCAACTCTTACAGGTCTACCCTTAACTCTTCCTAGGTCACCTCATGTCCACTCACCTCTTTCCAGAAACCTTGTTAGTGGCTTATAAGGTTTATATAAATGCAGGCTCAGGAAGATAAGTATCAGGGCACCCTTCAGGATGAGAAGAGAGAACTGGAGCAACTCTTAAATAAAAGGAACACCTATGTTGCAAAACAAGACGAGTACTCAAAGAAGATTCGAGAATTGGGCCCATTATCTTCTGATGCATTTGAAACGTATTCTTCCTCTGATTTTTAATATATCCACATGAACTTTTTAGCTTTTATCTGCTCTTCTGATATGCATTCCAGATGTGTGTGAATTTACGTGTGTGTGTATTGTTGCTGAAGTAACCCTAACCTAGTGGCACTCAGTGATGAGTCAAGCTTAGCTATATTCCTATCACCGTATGTATATATACTTTGTGTATTGCATACATTTTGTCTACTAAAAGATAAAGATTTATTTTCCCAGTAGTATTGTTAGAAATAAGGTTAATTGTATCTAGGAAGTAGGGGTGAAGGCTATCTATCTTCCAGCATTCCAGAGAGTGTTGAAAGGTGAAAGTAACTTCGGCTGCAGCGATGTTTCTGTGATAGGCTAGGCCAACCTGTACATTTATGTATATTATGGCATTAAGAGTTAAGACCTTTCATGCACAAAATATGAAGATCATTTTTTCTGTTACGATAATGGCTATAGTTGTTGTAGAGCTGAATAATAAGGTCTGTGAAACCAGGTTGCATGAATAACTTGAGTGTATTTGTATTTTCACATTTTGTGTGTGGGGAATATATGGATTTTGGGAGTATATCTTTGGTCTGAAGATATTTACTGTTTATTGTGCTATAAGTTGCACCCTTACACTATTATATTTATTGTTATTTTTAAATATTAAACTACTAATATCCTTTCTTTTTCCTACAATTCCTCTTCCAAACACTGTTCTCATGCCTCTTGATGAGTGACTGGAGATACTCATTTCTATTTTTTTGGCTATGCGCATATTTCATATTGAAATTAATAGGTATAAAAGAAAGAACATAAAAGAGTTGTACAAATTGCTGCACAAGTGCAATGAGCAGCTACAACAGTTTAGCCATGTGAACAAGAAAGCACTTGATCAGTATGTAAATTTCACTGAGCAGAGGGAAGAACTTCAGAGAAGACAAGCTGAACTAGATGCTGGTGATGAGGTGTGCTGGGCATATACAATCTGTAGATATATTTATTCTTGTGTGTTCAGTGCCTCGAATGAATTTGGCCTCGTTATTTTGAATTGACTTTGACAGAAAATTAAAGAACTTATATCAGTACTGGATATGAGAAAGGATGAATCAATTGAGCGTACATTCAAGGGTGTGTCAAAGCATTTTCGCGAAGTCTTTTCCGAACTTGTGCAAGGCGGCCATGGGGTTTTAGTTATGATGAAGAAAAAGGTTAGCCTCAATCCGAATATCCTCTTTGCAGTTGTGCTAATTGAAATGCCAAGCATGCATTGATTATCCCTCTTTCAATGGACTTTTCTTTTCCATCATTTCTGATGGAGCCAAAGATTCATTATTTTTTGGCTTTGAGGTATGCTGGAATAAAGCAAAATGGCTCTTTAAACCGTCTGCGCTTCTTTTATAGTGAAGTAGCACTTAGTCAATGCAACTTTCGACGCCCATCATGGGTCATCGGGAAACAACCGCATGTTTTAAACATAGGGGTCAGGCTGTGTACGTGATTACCTGTGGTGTTTGAGCTAGGGGTCAATCGAGAATACATTGACTAAAAATATAAGAAGTTTTTGTCTTTTTTGAAACAAAATATGATACTTGACTAATGTTATTTTTAGTCATTAGTTCCTACCTGAAATAGTTTGACTATAGGGCAAGATGCAAAACACAACTATATTTAAATGGTATTAGGATGTAGGCCCAATATAAGATTTTATTTAGAGCAACCTAACAAACCAAAGATTGTAATAGGATTGCAATTGGAAAAGGAGTTCCTACCTAGTTAGTTTAACTATAGGGCAAGATGCAAAGCACAGGTAATCACGTACCAGCCTGACCCTATGTTATCTTGGTGAGCTTTGTAGTGAGCAGTGGTGAGCTTTGTGTCATCTGACAGTAGCATGTCATCTTACCATAAGGTGTCATCTGGCTGAAGTCATTCCCTTAATATTAATATACTTATATAATTTCTATTTTTTTCCAAATTTTTTAAATTAATTATAATAGTACATCAATTAACATATATGAAAGCATGTCTAAAAGTTTAATTTTCACTACAAACAGCCGTTTTTGAATTGCTAAATTTTCCAAGCAATTTTTCTTAACAGCTAATATAAGCACAGGTCAAACCCGCTAACTCAATCAGCCGTTCAAACAAACCAACACAAAAAGCCAACAACCAACAACTATTATCCAAACAAGGCCTTAATGGGGTTACCTAACTCTACCTCTGTCCCTAAAAAGAGTCTTTTTCACCAAGGTTTATGTTTTCACATTTATTAGGCTACGAGGATTGGAAATTATTAATTCTAGCTATATTATTACAATTATTGGTTGGTTTAACTGTAGTTAGTTATAACATAAGTTGTTTGAGACACATCTTGAAATATATGGTGTATTAAATAAAATAGAATTAGTATCTTGTGTTGCAATGGACTCAACTCCTTTGAGTTCATTGCAAGTAGCCTGCAAACCTAAAAGTGTCATTATTGATATTGTTTTAGCTTTGAGTGATTAATACAGTCAATCAAAATGGCACAGTAAAGTGATTAAACTTCATTTTCTGCTTACTGTTTAGTCTCATCTTGCACTTAACAATGCATATCTCTGCAGGATGGTGAGGAAGACGATAATGATGACGATGATAGGCCTCGCGCAGCTGAAGTGGAGGGAAGGATTGAAAAATATATTGGTGTTAAAGTGAAGGTGTGCATTTTTTTTCCTCTGAAGTTTCTCTTTCATAAGCCTTAGAGAAACACCCCTGTATACTACTAAAACACCATTGACTATATTCTTAAACTTGCTTTGGGCTCCAGTGTTTTCTTAAGCTCACTTTCTGCAACAGGTTTCTTTTACAGGACAAGGAGAAACACAGTCAATGAAACAGTTATCTGGAGGTCAGAAAACAGTAGTGGCACTAGCTCTGATCTTTGCCATACAGCGATGTGATCCTGCCCCATTCTATCTTTTCGATGAAATTGATGCTGCACTGGATCCTCAGTACAGAACTGCTGTTGGAAGTATCCTTTTTAGTCTCTCTCTCGTTGATCCAATTGTTGATTTCCTTGCTTCAGAAAGTTTTTTACATACTTTGTCACACATGGCTCACATCATTTTTTCATTTTTCACATGGCAACTGCTTTCTACTTAAGTTTCATTTTAGCACGTGAGTATATTTGAAAAATCGTGATTAGTTGTATGTCGTGCAACAATCAGCACGTTTGTAGGACCTAGAAAGTAGTCATGATAGTGAAGTAGACTCTTCTGATGAAGGAAAAACATGGTTGGATGGTTTATTGATTTTTTTGCTTCTTGATGTTAAAATGGATTTCATCGGCATCTGTGTAGAGAAATAGTTGTTCTTTAACTTATGGATATCTAGATATGGTTCGTCGGCTAGCGGATATGGCAAGCACCCAATTTATAACGACAACGTTTAGGCCGGAGCTTGTGAAAGTTGCTGACAAGATATATGGTGTAACACACAAAAACAGAGTCAGCCGAGTTAATGTAGTCTCAAGAGAAGAAGCTTTGGATTTTATCGATCAGGATCAGTCCCACAATGCTGAGTGAGGTTAGCAGGCTTTGCCACTTCAATTATATAGTATGTAGCTGATTTATTTGCAAATTCTTTTGTTCACTTTTTTTGTCAGTCCGATGTTTATCTTCTCTTTTCTTCTAATGCATCTGGCTCTGTTTTCCTTGAAAGAGAGGTTTATCCAGTTCATGCTGTGTTTCTCCGTTCTAAATTAATATCAAACACACCTTTCCCACTTCATTAAAAAGCATTTAAATTCACATGAGAAATAAAATAGGGTTGTAGGGAGCTTGACTTTCTTGCTGTAGTGTCTTGAATGGCTCAGTACTACCCCCTCCGTCGCTAAATAAGAGTCTTAGTTTGATTTCATGTAGTATAAGCAAGTTGATGAAATTGAAAAGCATGTGGACAAATTTTGTTTAGAGGAGAGAGAAATGTTATCAGCCACATATTCATTTTCTTTTATGGCAACTTTATTTTTTGAAGAGGATTGGGGGGGGGGCTCATCAAAGGGTTCAAAAAGTTATCAAACCGAACACTAATATTGTCAAACTTAACTTGAATAAGTAATCGAATTTTAAATTCAACTCATACTTAAGAGTTCAAGTACTAAGAGTTCGATAGTTGCTCGGTTCGGTAACACCCTCACAAACAACAGATTGGTGTAAATATAGAGTATAACTTGATCTTTCACAATAGCAAAACTTAACTTTGCAATGCACTTATGCAGGAAGCTGACTAGCTTTTGGTTGGTACATATAAAAGCAAGGCAAGGGCTTGTGCACCAATCACTGGGATACTTACTACCCTTATCTAACATGCAGCCTAAGTTTATTCTCTTTGCTTCTTGTTGAAATGTCCATTGAGTCTTATCTAATCCTCTCAACATATGTTCAAAATGACATAATGTAGATGTCCAAAGTTTCTCTTGTTGACTAAAAAGTTAAAAACCATTCAATGGTAGTGAGATCTGCATCTTTGGTAATGCATTGTAGCAGAGTTCACATTGTGTTCCTATGATTTAGCCACTTCCCCTTCCTCCCTTTCGGGTCGAACCCGACTTGCACTAGTTGTCCATTGGGATTTTGTTGGACCGTTCGTAGCGTGCTTTGGTGGACGCTTCGTTCGAGTCACAGTGTGCAACAAGTAGACTTGCGCAGATACGAGTTTGATCCGGATTCGGTATGGGCTTGAGGTTAATTTTTTGTCTAAATATATGGATGGACAAAGCCCGCCCAAAACTTTCGGATCAAATATCATGCTCATCCACCTATGAAGTTGAGATCCAATTTGGCCACGGGGTAGCCCGATTTGGAACTTAATATTTTATACATATAATTTTTTTTAACTATAATATTGGGAGTATATAAATGTGTATGGACAAAATTTTGTTCATATTCATAATAAATACTCAAAAGTTTTTTCATTTATAGAGTGGAGTAAATTGGATGTCATTAAATCCATTTTGTAATGCGGCTTGAAATATCATATTTTCAAAATATTTGTGTAACCATACTTATATTCGGTCAAAGTGTTGCATAATAGATCTTGGACCGACAAAAGTATTACCCAGTACTCCGTATTTGAGTCACATTTTTTAAAAAAAAGAAATAATTGAATTGAAATGAAATACTCCCTCCGTCCGGAAAAAATCTTCCCGTTTCTCCTTTTTCCCCGTCCGGAAAAAATCTTCTCATTTCAATTTTTAACCTCAATCCTTCCAAAAATACCCTTTTCATTAAATTCTCAATTACTCCCTCCCATAAATTTTTAACCCCAATCTTCCCCTCTCCCCTTTCTCTCTCCTCCCATAAATCCTTACCACACCTAAATCTTATCTTTCTCTCCTTCACTTTTTCTTAGTCCATCCGTTCTCCTCTCTTCTTCTTCCACTGTTTTCTTCTTTTTTTCTTCGTCTCCTTCCCCTCCCTCCCCCCATTCTTCTTTCTTTTTATTCTTCTTCTTCTTCTTCTTCTTCTTTTTTCTTCTTCTTCTCTTCCCGAAATTCTTCTCTTCACTCTCTTCCAGATCTACGATAGATCTGTACTAGATCTTCTTCCCTTCTTTTTTCTCTTCTCCTTTTCTCTTTCTCCCGGAGGAGATGGTGGCGGGCTGGCGGCTAGGGATCGTGTGACTGATGGTGATTGGTTACGTCGGGGCTGAGGGGCGATTTGTGGTGGGGGCTGGGTCAATTGTGGTAGAGGTGACGGCAACGGTGGTGGTTGGGGCTGGGTCAATTTTGGCGGAGCTGACAGCGACGATGGACCCGGGGTTGACGGCGGTGGTGGGTGCTAGCCCTGGCAGAGGGGAGAGGAGGGGAGGGCAGGGCTGGGATTGTAAAACAGGAAAGAAATAAAGGGTATATTGGACATTTCACTTCCAAAATCAACACTTCAAAAAAATGAGAAAAAGTCCAAATGGGAAGATTTTTCCCGGACGGAGGGAGTAAGTGAAATTCATTCTTAGACTGACAAAAGTGATTTTTTCATAACATTGGAGTGTGTGTATACTTCTAAATAAAATAAAAAACACCCTATCTTTGATGCTTTGCACAAATTTATGAAGAGATAAATTGAGTTATGATTCTAGTTTATAACTACCTTCTAAATTCAAGAGCATTTTGGTAGATAAAAAATTGNTTCCAAAATCAACACTTCAAAAAAATGAGAAAAAGTCCAAATGGGAAGATTTTTCCCGGACGGAGGGAGTAAGTGAAATTCATTCTTAGACTGACAAAAGTGATTTTTTCATAACATTGGAGTGTGTGTATACTTCTAAATAAAATAAAAAACACCCTATCTTTGATGCTTTGCACAAATTTATGAAGAGATAAATTGAGTTATGATTCTAGTTTATAACTACCTTCTAAATTCAAGAGCATTTTGGTAGATAAAAAATTGCTTATAAAGTACTCGGGGTATTTGAATATTAAAATAATCTTCTCATTGACTATTCATTGGGTCAAGTTTTATTCATTTAGTTAATCTATTTTCGGTGCAAATTTGATAAAATAATATAATCATGTTACTTCCAATTTTGTAGATCTATTCATATAATTTTTAAATATATGATTTTTATTTGTTTTAATTCTATACCGTTTTCGTATAAAACAATTTAAAAATAATTTTAGTCAAATATTCTAACGCCAATGGAAAGATTGTTATGGACGGAAGGAGTACATACCAACGTCTTAAGCCACATGGCTGTGTTTTCAAACTAAAACAAAACAATTCTTGTCCCACCATTCAAAAAACCTAACTCATTACTCAAGTGCCTTTCTATGTCATGAAATATATTGTGCCACGTAATACTCTTAAAATATTCCTCTACTTTGACTTTATAATAAAAATGAAAAACTTTAACACTTCCTCCATTTTAAAATGATCTTTTCATTTAATTTTTTCAGTCTCCAATTCAATATTTTTATCATTAATGTCTACATTTATGCATAAATATTTTTATGAAAATTTAATATTTTAAAATTACGTATTATAAGGAAACTATTAATATTTTATTTATATCAAAACACAAGGTATTTTTTCTATATATCAAGGTTGAATTTACAAACTTTAATAAAAAAAAGTCAAAGGAAAAAAGGAAAAGAACATTTTCCTAATGGAGGGAATAATTATTTAAACAAAATCTCTAGTGCATATCATTAGAAGAATCATTTCATTAGATTTGTCTTACAAAAGGTTTTGTAAAATGTTTTATTGTATTTGTATGCAATATACTCCGTATAATTTTTTAGATAACTGTCGATCAAATTTTGTTCAGTTTTATTTTTAAACATTTAAACAAGACCATTATTTTTGGAGGAGGGTAGTAAAGTGTGAAATGAAAATAAGTGTGGGGCTGGGACAAAATTGACAACCTGACGGAGACGGGAGACCCATCAACCATTTATTCTATCTTTGATTGAAACTTTCAACCATCACTTAAACACATTGTGGAATGGGTATCCAATCCATGGTTGGTATCCATTTCTAAATTCATCCACCCTTTTTGTCACTTATTCCATCTTTTTCAATAATAAGAGGCTTTAAAAAATATTTATAACAAACCCAGTAAGATCTGATAAAAAAATGGGATCTAGGGAGGATTTTTGTACGCAGATTTTATCCTTACTAAAAAGTAGATGTTGTTTTCTAAGAAACTCCAACTCAAACACCATAGATAGCACATCGCACGATAAAAGAAATTTATTTACTTTTATGTTTGTTAATAGGGGGGCATTTCCCTGACATTAACTCCCATGTCATAGTATAACATGGGCTGCATTTACAATCTTTACGGTACTCCATTTGAAAAATTGATACCCTCCATCCCCCCTAACCACCCAGCAAACACACCACCCAGTCCGATCCGAACTCATCGCTCACTCTCGCCAATTACACACCACTAGATTTATTTGACTTTGGAATCAAATTTTGACTCTGTGGGGTGTAATTGGCAGAGGTGGGGGCGAGTTCGAGTCGGGCTAAGATGGTAGGTTTTTTCCAGGGTCATCAATGTCATGAAAACCAATGGGATTTAGGTATTAATGCAAAATTAAAACTAAAGATTTGCATGGCATATTTTGAAATTTATTATTATATTTAACTTTAAAACCTAACTTTAAAATAATACGGAGTATATTATTATAGTTCCTAATGTTAGTCTTGTGTGTAGCTCCCCTTCATGTGTGTATAGGGAGGTATATATACACGTGTCAACAATCATAAGTTAGTATATCCATCAATGTGTGTTACGATGTCACTATAAATTATATATACTTTATACAAAAATAGACAATCACCTTAGTTTAAGTGATAAAATATGGAATAACAGATTTGTACATGAAATTAGTTGTACATATAATTTAAAGATGTTTTTCTGAAAAAAGACATCAACCAATGAGTTATTAGGTTTGATTGGATTTGATTTAATTTGTTTTGAATTTGATCAATATTGAGTCTAATCAGTTTCAGGTCTGATCAATATTGAGTCTAATCGGTTTCAGATCTAATCAATTTCGACTTTAATCGGTTTGGGTTCAATCAAATTCAGATCTGAATCAAGCGTGAATACATTCAGTTCGGTTTTAGTTCGATTCAGATCATTTTGGGTGTTCAGGTTTAATTCAATTTTTCGGTTTTCGGGTTATTTTGGATTTGATTCTGGGTTGTTCAGTTTGGGTGGATTCAGGTCTATTTTGTCAGGTCTACTCATTCGTGGAATATTTATTTATATAATCAAAATATAATATAATTACTCGCAATCAAAATACAAATATAATTACTCACAATCAAAATAGTACATTGAAAAACATAAAATATCAAATAGAAAGTGGACTTGCCATGGTGCATACCACCTTTGACACTAAAAACATAATTTGAGAGAACTCTTAGTGAACTAATTGAATTGCTCACACATAAAATTGCCTCTCTAATTTTCTTTTAGTGTCAAAAGTGATGCGCACCAAAGTCTAATTGAACTTGAAACTCTCAATGGAAACATAGAATGATGAAAGTAAAGGTTTTGCAGTCTTTTATGGAAAAAAATGACCCAAAAAGGAAGTCCTTAACACATCAATGATACTCTAGCTACTATCTTCACACTTGCTTCCCATCTGGATTGATATATTAGGCCTTCACGGGCTTCGTCGTGAGCCCGAACCCGAAGGGGAACAACGGGTCGTAATGTGGGTCCCCCACGTTCATCGGGAGCTGATCGACCGACTTGAACCACGTTCGGGCAAGCTTGCCCGAGAACCCGTAATCCCCAAACAAGGCGTCCGTGACCCCCTGCCCTTCGGATCCGGGCAGCCACGCCGCGACCAGGGCATCCATCTTCGCAACGTGGGACCCGATCACCACGGGGCGTCCCGAGACCACGACCACCACGCACTTGACAGCCCCACACACGCTGTCTATGGTGGCGTAACCGGTCCCCGCAATGGTGAGGTTCGTGCTGTCGCCGTACATCTCCGCGTACGGGACCTCGCCCACCACCACAATGGCGTAGGAGAAGCCGTTCGACTTGACATAGCCCGCGTCTGGGCTTTCTTGATACACGACTTGCGTCGAAGGATCAACCGTTTTCTTGATCGCAGACAAAATGGTTGTTCCTGTTGAAGAAAAAAAAGAGCCATTGGGTTTGGATCCTTGAAAACACTAGCACTATGTTTGGTTCAAGGAATTTGAAAGGGAAAAGAAAAGAAAATGAAGTGGAAAATCATTTTTCTTGTTTTGTTAGAGGGGAAAAGAAAGGAAAAGTGGAAGGAAAAGAAAATGAGGCAAAATGTATCAAGTGGAGGGAAAATCAAATTCCTTCCATTTTGGTGACGAAAATGAAAGAAAACCATTTTCTTTTCTTTTCCTTCCAAAATCCTTGAGCCAAACATAGTGTAGGGAAATTTGAGATTTTTACAAGAATATCCCAAGATTAACATAATGTATGATTAGAATTCGTTTAGATGAGCAAGAAATATTGCGAGTCACATGTTCATTACTAAAAAAAAAGAAAGAAACCGAAACAAAGTAAATGTAAAGTGTTAAGAATGTATTACCGACGGTGCGATCATTGCCCTTAAAGCCTTGCCATTCGATGGTCCAGCCTCCACATTGGTATCCCAAGTTGTCCGCGTGAGTCCCGGCCACAAGAATCTTTGTGGCTTTCTTAGGAAGGGGAAGCAATGGAGGGGCGGCGGCACTTTTGCCGTTCTTCAGAAGCACTAAAGATTTTCTCACCGCTTCCCGAGCCAATTCTCTGTGTTCCTGTTATTATATGAAGGTAGGTTGAAGTGTGTAAAACACTGTAAAAAATGAATCTTTACTGGCTTTGGAAACAGAGTATCAGAAAAACAGAGTCATAAATTTTTTACCTGGCTTCCAAGCTGGTTGGCCAAGCTAGAATCAGACATTGGGTTCTCAAAGAGACCCATGGCAAACTTGACCCTCAGTATCCTCCTAACAGCATCGTCGATCCTACTCATCGGAATCACTTTCTTGTTCACCAAATCCGTCAAATCATTAATGTAATCTTTGTAGTTCTGTGGTACCATGACCTGAGGAATCGCGTATAAACCCAGCCCGTTTTAGAATAAAACTGACCAAATTTTGTTTATACGAAAGATCACATTTTTTCTAATCATAGTAATGATAATGCTAGGCTCACCATGTCAATGCCTGCAAGAATCCCAGCTTGTACAGAATACGTGTAGTTCGGCGTGCTGGTAATCCTGTCAATGCCTTGCCAATCTGATATCACAAATCCCTGAAAATAGACACACATTCAACCATTTTTTTTGGTAAGATCGCGAGTCGACTTACTAAAAAGATTGATTTTTTATGGACTTTTGAGCAAAGTTTTAACGGATATGGGGCGGGGCAGGACAGGGCATCTTACCCTGAACTTGAGCTTGTTCTTGAGGAAGCCGGTGACTAGGTCACCATTGGCGTGCATCTTATGGCCATTCACACTAGAGTAAGAAACCATAACAGTGGCAACACCCTTCTTGATTGAATCATAGTATGCCGGCATGTGAATGCTGAAGAGTTCCTTCATGTCTATAACCGTATTGTTCTCGTCAATCCCCCTTACCGTTCCCCCATCTCCCACAAAATGCTTCGCGCATGCTGCAACTTTGTTCCTGTTACACATTGTTTTACATGGTCAAGAATACCCTTAAGCAACAAGGTAGGGTCTGGGGTGGGGGTGGAGGTGGGGGGGGGGAGGGGCATACTTTCCGGCGACAAAAGGAACTCCGGGACGGGAGTTAGCAGGGAGATCTCCTTGTAAGCCGGGGATGAGTTCGGTCATCATCTGCACAATCTTGTGATCTTCACTATAGCTTTCGTAACATCGTCCCCATCTGGGATCCCTACAAACCTATATATTGTGCATGCCAAAATCATAATTACAAAATACTTATAGAGCATTAAAATCAGCCCAATATGAGCAACTTACTGCAATGCAAGGAGCAAAAGCATATGGGATTCCTGTTGCTCTAACTTCAAGTGCAGTTGCTGATCCAATCTTTTTCACTAGTTCTGGATCCCTGTCACAAAATAAATTAACAAATATATAAATAAAATGATTAATTAATTAGATATTCAAGATTCATGATAATGCACTTGCCTGGTGACACCAAGCCCAATATTGTGAGGAAAAATGGTGGCCTTGTAGACATTGTTGTGCCCATGAACTGCATCAATCCCATAGATCATGGGGATACCGAGGGGTGTCGAAAGCGCCCCTTTCTGAAGCTCGTCCACCATGTTTGTCCAATCTTTAGGGGTCGCGTTTGGTTTGGGCACACTTCCTCCTCCACTCAATACACTCCCTACCATAATCATATGAAAACCCTTTCTTAGTCACACCATTGAAAGAGTTTAGTTCCATACAATCTGTTATGATCTCATAAGTGTCTGCCATAAAAACAAACTTTACATATTTTGCACCTTCAAAGATCCAACTGCAGAGCTAATGGATTTTATTTAATGGGAAACACTCCATTTAATAGAGTATTATAAAGCAGAATACTATTCTTTTCGGCATTAGCAATTTCAAATAATATCCATAAAAAATTCAAATAATAATAATTATTATGCATCATCAGCAAGAACTGAAATCTTGAAAGAGAAAAAAGTGATTTTTTTTTGGAATTTAAAAAATGCTTTATTCCTACATTCATGTCCATGGTTCAATTTTTATTTGAACACCATAACAAAACAGAATGCATTTGTTCTTCGCATTCAAAATTTGAAATCATAAATCAGCATTAGTAACAATAATAAATACCCATCATCAGCAATAACTGAAATCTTGAAAGATTAAAACGTAAGTGTTTTTTTAAAAAAATGTTTTATACCTATATTTATGTCCAAGGTTCCTTTTTTTATCTCAACACCATTACAAAACAGCACACCAATGTTTTTGGCATTCAAAATTCCAAATAATCATATTTTTTTTGAAAAGATAATAATAATAATAATAATAATAATAATAATAACAACAGCAACAACAAAAAAAATAATAATAATAATAACAAAAATAGTTCTAAATTAATAATATCAACAATAAGAACAATAATTAATTCCCATCATCTTCATATGCTAGAACTGAAATCTAGGAAGAATTCAAAAAAAAATTAAAAATAAAAACTCTAATAAAAAATAAATAAATAAAAACATATATAGAGTACCAATGAAGTATTGCTTCATGACATCAGAAGTGGCAACATTCCTCTCAATCTGAGTCATCTGACCAATCTTCTCAGCAAGACTCATCCTTTTCATCAAATCTCTGATCCTAACACCCACTGGCTGCTTTGGGTCCTTGTACTTTGCAGCATCCCCAGCACCAGCTTCTCCCACCAAGCACAAAACCACCGCCAACAAAACCGCCAAGAATGCCCTTTCATATCTCCCCATTTTTGCTTCTTCTCTATCTGTATGCAATTGAGATAAGAAAAGAGAAAAGAGGCTTTGATACCATGGAAATCTGTAATGATTGTTTGTGTTATATAGAAGAATCAAGAGAGCCAATCCCAGTAGATTTATATAGAGTAATCAATATACAAATTACAAAACCTATACTCCACAATAGTATTATAATTACTATTTTTTGACTAAAACTAATTACCATTACAGCTGAGATGAACCAGATTTCAAAGTGTGTACTGTTACAACAACAAAGATTCAATTTTTCTTTTTCTTTAAATTTAGGAATCCATAAAGATTCAATTTTTCCATCATGTTCCATTGAGAAGAAGAAAAGAGGGAAAGGAGATAGAAAGGATTTCTTGAATGTACCAGAGAAAAAGCTCAAATCTTGGAGTGAGAATAACCAACTGAACTAAGGAATAAGATGAGGACTACTATCTCGAGTGTATATATTGTGGGTGGTGTGGATAAAGTTAAATTTAAAAAGAATGGAAGGAATTATTCTAAGATATGATTCCAAATATTTTGATTTATTTTCCTCCAAAAAAAAAAAGAAAAAAAGAATTGTTCCAATGATTTAAATGGGCAGGCGTAACCAAAATAAAGCCGTTAAAAAAATATTGCAATGGGGATATGGGTAATGGGAATGATGATATGTACTTGTACTAGTGGTCTAGTCATAGTGGGTGGGTTTTATTATTTTCTGACTAAATAAATGTCTGGAAAGTAAACGTGCACCGTGCACTGTATATATCTCCCAATTAATGACAAATACGGAGTAAATAACCTCTAAAAAGTTTTGATATTTCAAAATATATTTTAAAATAAATTTAATTTTACTAAATTTACATTATAATTAAATATTCTTTTTTCATACTTCACAGTCAAAGAGTGTCATAATTTATCTAAAAAAGTTTTACAATGACAATCTTTTAAAGACACAAAGAGTAAATTATATCCTGTGATACGTTGGAGCATATTCTTTCCCCTTTCATATTTTTTGTCCTGGTTTGACTTTTGTGATCAACATTCTAAAATTTTGATCATAAGTTATGAAAAAAATATACTTCTTCTGTCCACAAATAAATTTTCTGTTGCGTGTTACGATGTTTGACTGAAGTTATTTTCAATTTATTTTATATGAAAAATGGTATAAAATTTAAAAATAAAAATTACATATTAAAAAACTATATCAAAAGATCTACAAAATTAGAGGTAACATGACTATATTATTTTATCAAATGGGTGACGAAAATAGGCCAACAAAGTGAATAAAGTTTGACCCTGTGAATAGTGAACGAAAAATTTATTTGTGGACGGAAGGAGTATTGATTTGTGATATAAATTTAATATCAATATATTTATTTCGATTGTTATTTTGTATTAATTTTGGACATCTCTTTACCTGATTTGATTGTTATTAATAAGTAATAAGAATAAGTTGAAGATAACGTGGTTTTTGTCTCAAAATAAATCGAAGTTTTCTAAGGAAAGAAACACTCTCTTGTAAACAAATTTTAATTTCAACTACACTTTTAATGGACACATGAATGGAGTAAAGGTTTTGAAGCCTTGTATAGAAAAAAAAAATTAACCAAAAAAGAGCGTTTAGAAAAGACACTACTATATATAGAAAGTATCTTTACACGTGCTGCCCATCCATTTTAGGACTTCACGGGCTCCGTCATGAGCCCGAACCCGAAGTGGAACAACGGGTCGTAATGCGCGTCCCCCACGTTCATCGGCAGTTGATCAACCGATTTGAACCATGTCCGTGCAAGTTTGCCCGTGAACCCGAAATCCCCAAACAAGGCATCAGCAACCCCTTGTCCTTCTGTTCCGGGCAGCCACGCCGCGACTAGGGCACCCACATTCGCAATGTGGGGCCCGATCACCACGGGGCGGCCCGAGATCACGACCACCACACACTCGACTACCCCACACACATTGTCCATGGTGGCGTAACCCGTCCCCGCTATGGTGAGGTTCGTGCTGTCGCCGAACATCTCCGCATACGGGTTCTCGCCCACGACCACAATGGCGTGTGAGAAGTTGTTGGACATGACATAGTCCGCGTCTGGACTTTCTTGATACACCACTTGCGTTGAGGGACCAACGGTTTTATTGATCGCAGATAAAATGGTGGTTCCTGTTGCAGAAAAAAGAGCCATTGTGAATTTGTGATGCCTAGTGTGCGTTTAAATCCTTTAAAACGATAGGAAATGGAAGTAACGCTAAGAAGAGTTGTGTTCAAGTGTTTTTTCTTGTGAAATTAAAATAAAACTATTCTTATATTACGAAAACAAATCCGGTAAAATCCCACAAAAGTAGGGTCCGAGAAGGATGTGTTCGCAGACCCCACCCATACTTTGAAATAGAGAAGTTGTTTCCAAAATACCCTTAGCTCAGATACAAAGATACAACCAATCAGCAACCTAGTCAGTCTTTACATGATAGAAACCAAAGAAAACTTATGTATCTTATGTTTTTCTCTAAGCTCTCTCCCTATATATTTCATCTTTGTAGCAATTTTCCAAGTTCCAAACGGACCCTAACATTTCGAAATAGGTTCAAACAACAAGAGATTGTTGAGATGAGGGAAAACAATGTATTACCAACAGTGAGGTTGTTTCCCCCAAGGCCTTGCCATTCAATGGTCCAGCCTCCACATTGGTATCCCAAGTTGTCCGCGTGAGTCCCGGCCACAAGAATCTTTGTCGCGTTCTTAGGAAGGGGAAGCAACGGAGGGGAGGTGGCATTTTTTCCATTCTTCAGAAGCACTAACGATTTCCTTACTGCTTGTCGAGCTAACTCTCTATGTTCCTAATATTGTGAGCAAGCAAAGTTAGGCTTCGTTTGGGCAGATCAGAAATAGCTTTAAATATAACTAGACCCAGATCAAAACTTATTCAAATCAGATCAGACTCAACTAGATCAGGTGAAGAGAACAAGTCCTTACCTGGCTTCCGAGTTGGTTGGCCAAGCTAGGATCAGACATTGGCTTCTCAAAGAGACCCATGGAAAACTTGACCCTTAGTATCCTCGTAACAGCATCGTCGATCCTACTCATCGGGATCACTTTCTTATTCACCAAATCAGTCAAGTTACCAATGAAATCTTTGAAATCCTGCGGGACCATCACCTAAGGAGTCGCGAATAAATCCAACCTGTGTTATGTTAAGAGTATCCCACATCGGAAAAGTTTGAGAAAAATAATCGGTATATAAGTTCTTGAGTTGAACTAACTAATCGATTGGATTCAATCTTTTAATGTGGTTCAGCCCAAGTGTCTTATAGCCAAATCCGGTTGTCCATACCCATCCTAAATTCTATCATGTTAGAATAAAACTAAGGAAAGAAAGACGTTTTCCGCGACCAAACCTATAATAACTCTAGGCTCACCATGTCAATGCCTGCAAGAATCCCAGCTTGTACAGAATACGTATAATTTGCGCCTGGCGGGCTAGTAATCCTGTCAATGCCTTGCCAATCTGATATCACAAATCCCTGCAAATAGACACACATTCAACCATTTTTTGGTAAGATCGCGAGTCGACTTACTAAAAAAGTGGACTTGTTCTAGTTCAAGATTACACTATATGTTTACCTGGAACTTGAGCTTCTCCTTGAGGAAGCCTGTGACAAGTTCACGGTTTGCGTGCATCTTAATGCCATTCACACTTGAGTAGGAAACCATAACAGTAGAAACACCCTTGTTGATTGAATCATAGTATGCAGGCATGTGAATGCTGTACAAATCCTTCATATCTATTATTGTATTGTTCTCATCTATCCCCTTGTTCGTGCCACCGTCTCCCACAAAATGCTTTGCACACGCTGCAACTTTGCTCCTGTTACAAAAAAATGTACCATTTGGAACAAAAAAAATCACATATAATACCATTTTAACCGACTTAACCGCATGCTTGAGCTTCTGGTTGTAGGCTAGGGAAGGATCTTACAATTGTGGGGTAGGGGAGGGGGAGGGGGTGGGGGTGGGGGACGTACGTTCCGGTGGCGACAAAGGGAACTCCGGGGGTGTAATTAGAAGGGACATCTCCTTGTAAACCAGGTATAATCTCAGTCATCATCTGCACAATCTTATAATCCTCGCTATAGCTTTCGTAACACCGTCCCCATCTCGGATCCCTACAAACCTATATTGTACATACCCAAAATTACAAAATACTTATAGAGCACTATAATCATCTTATATAAGACCAACTTACTGCAATGCAAGGAGCAAAGGCATAGGGGATTCCTGTTGCTCTAACTTCAAGTGCAGTTGCTGCTCCAATCTTTTTCACTAGTTCTGGATCCCTTTTTTTAAAAAATAAATGAACAAATAAATACATGAATAAATAAATAAATACTCAAAGTTCAAGATAATGCACTTGCCTGGTTACACCAAGCCCAATGTTGTGAGGGAAAATGGTTGCATTGTAGACATTATTGTGCCCATGAATTGCATCAATCCCATAAATCATAGGAATTCCGAGGCGGGTCGAAAGCGCCCCTCTCTGAAGCTCATCCACCATGGCTGTCCAATCTTTAGCGCTCGCGTTTTTTTTAGGCACACTTCCTCCTCCACTCAACACACTCCCTATCATAATCATATGACAACCCTTTCTTAATCACATCTTGAAGACAAGTTAACCATATGTCATAACTCATAGCTGTCTGTCATAAGAACACATATTCTGCACTCTAAAAAGCAATGTTTGCGCCTATACTTATGTCAAAGATTCCATTTTTATCTAAATATAACAACACAGATCCCATTCTTTTGGCATTACAAATTTCAGATAATATCCATTAAAAAATTCAAATAATAATGACGAGTACCCATCATCAGCAAATGCATCATACCTATATTTATGACCAAGGTCCCATTTTTATCTGAACACCATTATATTGTTCTTGGCATTCAGAATTTCAAATAATAACATCAATAATTAACACCCATCATCTTCATAAGCAAGAACTGAAATCTGGTAACATCTCAAAAACATTTTTTTAAAAAAACATATATAGAGTACCAATGAAGGACTGGTTCATGACATCAGGAGTGGCAACATTCCTCTCAATCTGAGTCATCTGACCAATCTTCTCAGCAAGACTCATCCTTTCCATCAAATCTCTGATCCTATCTTCCACTGGCTGCTTTGGGTCCTTGTACTTTGCAGCATCCCCAGCACCAGCTTCTCCCACCAAGCACAAAACCACCGCCAACAAAACCGCCAAGAATGCCCTTTCATATCTCCCCATTCTGTAATTGACAACAACAAATGATGCTTTGATTCCATGAAATTCTGAATAAAGAGTTAGTAAACTATCAAAAAATGAAATAAGAGAAATTAACCATTACAGGAAGACTATAGTATAATAAAATATTATTGTTATTATTGTTTGTCTAACACTAATCACCATTACAGCTGAGATGAATTACCCCATTTTATTTTTACTGCGTGTACTGTTACAATAACAAAGATTCAATTTTTTCTAATACTCCCACTGTCCCATTGAGGAAACAAAAGAAAGAAAGAAAAAGATTCTTGAATGTACGTACCAGACTAAGAAAAAAAGCTCAAATCTTGGAATGGCGTAAACAAGTGAGAAGAGATTGGGAGAATAAATACTGAATCATCTCATAAATCCCGGGTGTATGTGTAGTCGTTGTTGGCTGGTAAATAAAGTTTAAAAAAGTATACCCTCCCATTAATACTTCTCATTTTTCTTTATCCTATTTCAAAGTTTAGACTTTAGAATGATGAAATATGTGTTTTGTATATTTACTTTCATTAATTATTTGATAAAATAATATAGTTATATGAACTCTTGTTTCCTTTCATCATAAAATATTTTTCTCGGTTACTATTCATATAGTCAAACATTAATCACTTTATTTATCTATTTTTAGTCTTTTTTATAAAATAATATAGTCATATCCCATTTAATTTTGTAGAATTTTAGATGTGATTTTTAAATATATAATTTTTATTTTATAATTTAACACCTATAATCAAATGAATCGAATCGAAAATATCTTCAATCAAACGTTACAAGTCGAAAAGGAAAGAATATTTTAGAACGGAGAGATTACAATTTTTAATGCAATTTTTAAATACGTAAGTGATTTTATATACCCCATTTTTTTAAAAAAGGAATTAAAAAAATCCTTTTATTTTCGTAAATCCCTCCCTAATTTTTATTTGGGAATGGAAGGATTATTTTTTATCAAAGAATAGTTTGACTAATATTTTTAATTGATGCCAATATCCCATTCTTTTTGTCCAATTTCGTTTTACGATGCTTGACAGACTATGACTCTATGAGATTTATCGTTATGCGTGCAAAGGCCTCATGCTACCCATGGTTTTCCTTCATCGTCGTTTTTAGGAGTCGAACTCAAGGATTATCTCATTTTTCATCCTCTACAGTTATAAATTATGACTTCATTTCTTATAAATTAGCATCAGTCATTTGTTTGCTATGTATTTTTGTTGATTATTTGATAAAATAAAATATGTATGCCACTATGTATTTTGTAAAACTTTTGATGTAAACTTTAAATATGTAAGATGTATACGTCATTCGGGATGATAATTTAGTGACACTCAAGTATTTAAAACTTTAGTGGTACTTTGTGTAAGTTTTATTCTATAGTACTCTTGTTTTTTCAAAGGTTTCAAAAGTCATCTCTTAAAATATGGTGGGCTGCTCCCTTGATACTCTCTTTTTTGATGGACTTCGGCCAATAACGTGTGTTGGGGAGAATAATAAGTTAATGATGGAGAATAAATGATACTCACTCCGTCCTAATTTGATTACAAATTGAGTTATGAGGCAAAAAATTTCGTCTTTTAAAATTATTTTATTTACAAATTGGTACGTCAATAAGAAATAAAAATTACATATTAAAAAATTATGTCAAAAGTTCTACAAAACGAGAGATGACAAAAATATTTTATTAAAAAATTGTAATCTAATTTGACATTTGGGAGTAAATGATTGGTTGAAAAAGCACGAGTTCTTTGAAGTCAAAAGGTGGATTCTATGGTGTTTTTTCTAGTATTTTTGGGTAGAAATTTGGGTTAAGCCGAAGGTAAAAAAGGAAGACTTGTATTTTACTCTTTCTTGAAGGATTTTACACTAGAGTTCGATTAGAGAATTATGAACGGAATGAGAATATTAAGGAAAAAAAAGTTACATTTTGACCAAATTTTTTATTTAATTTTATTTGTTAGTAAGAAAACTGGTAAACAGTATAATTTATACCGTAATAACTTATTTAATTAATTATTGTAGGGAAAGCGAAAAAAGATACAGAAACATCGATCAAAGAAGGGTTATTTAATTAATTATTGTAGCGAAAGCGAAAAAAAGATGCATAAGCATTGATCAAAGGGGAGAGAAGAGGGGTGGGTGGGGGGAGTGGGGGCAATAAAATGGAAAACGGAGGACGACATTTGCGATTTATTATGCCGCATTATTTTCCTCACAAAAATGGGAAGAAAACATAATTTATAATTTTACATTACATTTTCCCTGCCTTTTCTTTTCCTTCCATTTTGTTTCATTTTCATCCAAACATGAAAAAAATATCTTATGAATTCCTTGAACCAAAAACAAATTGAGCCAGTAAGATTATTATGATGCCAATATGTGATGAAGTACATTTTCTAGGTCCTTTTACACAGCTTTGGTCCCCAGACCAAACCCGAAAGAGAACAACGGGTCGTAATGTGGATCGCCCACGTTCATCGGCAGCTGGTCGACCAACTTGAACCAAGTCCGGGCGAGCTTGCCCGTGAACCCGAAGTCACCAAACAAAAGATCCGTAACGCCTCGGCCTTCGGTTCCCGGAAGCCAAGCAGCAACAAGTGCATCTATCTTGCTAACAAAAGGCTCGATCACAACCGGACGGCCCGAAATGATGACCACTACGCATCGGACAACACCACAGACGTTGTGGATGGAACTGATTCCCGGTTCGGGTATTGTGAGATTTGAGCTGTCTCCGAACATCTCGGCATATGGAAGCTCTCCCACAACAACAATGGCATAATCAAAGTGGTTGGCCCTAACAAACTCTGTGTCTGGATTCTCTTGGAAGACGACACGTGTTGATCGATCCACCGTTCTTTTCACGGCCGATAAAATTGTCGTCCCTAGTATGGTAGAAATCTCAATCAAAGATTAACCATGCAATTTCGGCTTGGTTCCGATGACATTTTGACTCCAAAGTCAACTAAATTTGGTGGGATACAGTTAAAGGGGATGGGTTCGGGTCAGACCGTGGTGGGGTTCACCCAGGGTAGGACACATTAATTTTTCAAACAGAGCACCGTAGGGGACCCCAAGCGGGGCCCATGGGGGGTTAATGTCAGCCGAACCCCCTGCAACTTTTAAAAAACTTTTAACACAAAAAATGTAGGAAACGCGTACCGATAGTGATGTCATTGCCGCCAAGACCTTGCCACGAGAATCTTTGTTGCTTTCTTTGGCAGCGGGAGTAACGGGTGGTTTGTGGTTTTCCCATTCTTCAAGAGAACAAGCGACTTTCTAACGGCTTCTCTTGCGAGTTCTCTATGTTCCTATACATTAGATGACATGAATTTGATTCAAATGGTAAATGCTCCTATCCATTAGAATGATTAAATGACATAACTCTCTAAGGGCATTTTGGTCAAAATAAGTATTCGTATCCCGCGGAATTCAAATTACATTCCTCGTATATATATATATATACATTCTTTTCTACAAGCCAAACGCGCCTTATATCGATTTACCTGGCTGCCCAAGTGATTCTTCAGGCTGAGATCCGCCACCGGGTTATCAAACAGACCCATCACAAATTTTACCCTTAGTATCCTCCTCACGGCGTCGTCTATTCGGCTAATGGGAATGATTTTTTTCCTCACGAGGGACGCGAAAACGTCTAAAAACTCTGTCAAACTCTCCTGACCCATAACCTGCGTTTTAACTTAGACGAATTAATACTGCATAAACATGCAACAAATTCAGAATGGTGAAAATGCACTCAACCACTGGGATGTGTAACTATATATTCAAAATTTTTCTCACTAAAACAATTGATTTGTCATTCGTATATTCATGGGCGCACTGTACCATATCAATCCCTGCCAGAATTGCAGCTTGAATGGAATAAGTGTAATTAGCACGGGGTGGATCGGTAATTTTGTCAATTCCTTCCCAATCAGAAATAACAAATCCCTGAAATGCAAGCAACCACAAAAAAAATGTATATACTTGAGAACCAAACACCAACTTATGAAATTCCCAACGATTTCCTTTTCTTAACGAATTCTGCTTTTTTTTATTTACTTTTAAACACTTTTCTTAAACTCTGTGACCAGTCACAGAGGTAATTTTTTGTTTGGGACGGGAGAGGAGAGGGGCAAAATTGTCTTACTCTGAACTTGAGTTTGTCTTTGAGAAAGCCGGTGATTAGAGCACGATTAGCGTGCATCTTCATGCCATTCCAGCTAGAGTAAGACACCATTACCGTTGAAACGCCCTTTCTAACAGAATCAATATATGCGGGCATGTGAATGTCAAACAACTCGTCTACGCTAATAATGGTATTATTCTCATCAATGCCCTTGAACGTGCCTCCATCCCCCACAAAGTGTTTGGCACACGCCGCAACTTTTTCCCTGAAATTTTGGGAACCGGTTAAGTCCGAATCTTAATGAACCAATAGAATTTGAGATCGGTATAAGATGCTTGAGCCAAACCATACTGAAAGATAATGACTCTTTTAGCCTTGCTGGCGATGAATACCATAATAAACTTGCAAGTGTCATTATGGAACGATAAGAACAGCTCGGATTTTTTTAGGGTAATTTACCTAAATAGGACTAACACATTATGACTTTCTCAATTTAGAACCATATGTTTTTATTTCCGAATGTAAGACCATTGGTCATTCTCTATTAGTCATTATTCAACTAAATGTCCGGCATCACTTGAGCATTATTCTTCTCACTAGACATTATTAAGTCCTATTTAGGGAATAAAAAAGTTTAAGTCCTACATTGGGAAATGACTTATGTTTTAGTCCTATTCAGTGAAAATTATGTTTTAGTCCTATTCAGTGAAAATTTCACTTTTTTTTAACCTTCCAGAAACAAAAGGAATGCCTTTATGGGAGTTTGGTGGGAGATCCCCTTGTAAACCAGGTATAATCTCAGTCATCATTCGCACAATCCTGTGATCCTCACTATAGCTTTCGTAACATCGTCCCCATCTTGGATCCCTACAAACCTATGAAACCAAAACAGCCAAACATTAAACGGATACAAAAACCATTTAATGTCTGCAAACATATGTGTGATGTAAAGTAACACTATAATACAAAGGACTTCTTTGGCATTTTAAACGCATTTTTTAGAAAACAAGAATTATTGGGAAAGTGGACAACTCATTTCAAACATTGCCTTAGTACGTACTGCGATGCAAGGAGCAAAAACATAAGGGATTCCCGTGGATCTGACTTCAAGTGCAGTGGCAGCTCCAATCCGCTTCACAAGTTCTGGATCTCTGTCATGAGTTTATATTATAGCACAAACGTTACAAATTGTTAAATAATGGTTGATTCAATCTTTTAGTTATGATTGATCCTTATTTCCTAATCCCTATCCAAATATACATTCCATGATTTCCATCACAAACCAGGGGAGATATTGCGGCTATAATACAACAACAACAAACACAGTTAAGTCTCACAAGAGTAAGGTTTGGAAAAGGTGTCTGAATGTGTGCAGACTTTACCCCTACTCTAAAGTTGAGAGAACATTTCCAAGAAACCCCGGCTCAAACACAGCCACACTTACAAAGAAAACACATTATTAGCATTTAGCACGAACAAAGTAAGACAGAGAGAGAGAGAGAGACCTTGTGCCTCCAAGCCCAACATTATGAGGGAAAACCGTGGCCCCATAAACAGTGTTGTGACCGTGAACTGCGTCAATCCCATAAAGCACTGGGATCCCGAGACGGGTCGAAAGAGCCCCTTTCTGGATCTCATTTACCATATTGACCCACGCCTCCACTGAGGCCTTAGGCTCCGGTCCACTCCCTCCACCACTCAGAACACTCCCTGCCACAGCAACCACACACCCCATGCTCCATAAGTCACCGGCATTTCATCACCCATAAACAAGAAACTAAAACTTAAAGTACTTAAAATGTCAAAAAATGGGTTAAAATAAGCAAAATGTAGTTTAGAGTGGTGGTTTTGAGTAAAGATTTACTCCTTTTCTTTTCTTTCTCCTTTTAGGTTTGATAGAGCTGAATGAAACAGAACTGAATGATACTGGGTTGAACTAATTGTAGTATAATTTTAAGCTAAACATACTGAACTGAACTAAAGGATGCTGAAATTAAAGGGCAAATGAGGATATATATATATATATATGAAACATACCAATGAAGTATTTCTTGATGACAGAAGGGGAGGCAACATGCCTTTCAATCTGGGTCATCTGCCCTAACTTTTCAGCAAGACTCATTCTTTTCATCAAGTCTCTGATTCTAACCCCAATGGGCAGATTTGGGTCCTTGTACTTGGCGGCGGCTTCTGTGCCACCTGCAGATAGGCATATCAAGAAAAGCAGTATTATACCCATGCCTGGTTTTGCAAATCTCTCCTCCATTTCAGCTTCTGGTAAAGTTTGTAATCTGCACTTGGAAATGTGTGGAGATTGTGAAAGATGAATTTTTGTTGGTTTTGAGGTCCCAGTTCGAAGAACATAGCAAAGATGGATTTTCACTGTGTTTGTAATCTGCACTGTGTTTTTTTCTTTTCTTTAGTTCTAATCTGATTGGATTTTGATCACAGATTATTGTCAAAAAGTGAAGCTTGCACCCAGTAGTTGCAAATATGATTGTAAAACGATCGAATCGAATATTGTAAAATTTTATTCTTATTTGAAAAATGATAGCATTATTCATATTCATATTCGTATTCGATTTGATATTAAATTGAAATATTCGTATTCGTATTCTTTTATGAAATACGGTTTTTTATTTTTAACATTTTATAGCTTCAAAAGCTAGTATAAAAATCTCCTTAAATAAGAGTAAAATATAGAAAAAGTACCAAAATATGAACTTCATATTTTAAAATATGGAGTTTGCATTGTGGTAATGTGACGCTGTATATAAATAATTCACAATACTTTTTCATAATGTACATGGTCTTGAATAATACTGTAAATGCATTTTAACTCCTATTTCGATAATGAAAATATATAACTCCTATTTTGATTTATTTTCAATGTTTACTTTTACTTTAGTCTTTTTTCCAAAATTAATAGGGTACTAAAAATGGCATATCTACAATAACAACAAACTACAGAGTAGTTAGATCCAACGAGAGTAGGGATTAGAGAGGATGTGTGTAGGCAAATCTTGCCCTACGAATTACTATGTATTATGAGGCAAACATATATTAGATATAAATTTCTGTAACACCCTAATCCGTCCAGGTCTGCAGCCCCTTTCGGACTAAAGTATTAACTTGGTAATCGTAAAATTTAAACTTTTCAAACACTTTTATTTATGATAATAATATTTTTCATATCATAAACAGTACAGAGTTTTCAATGTTGCGAAAGCTTAACAAATCATAACCACAAACATAATTTATTTATATTTTCTTTAATGCAAAACCATCACATCCATTCCGACTATCTCGCCTCCGTCTGTCTCCAGAATCACGTCACATCATTCTATTGACTTGCGTGTAGCAAATAAAACACACTACACGCTCAGCGGTAAAGCTGAGTAAGCATATCTAATGCGTCGAACATCCACATAAATTGAATCTCAATTCATAATCAACCATTTAATATCATGCACATAATGTTCAGTTCAGATATTCAATAATCAATATTCAACTTTCAACATTCATTGTTCAATCATTCAACATGTATATTCATTATTTGTCATTCAACAATATCCTTAAACTATTTTTAGTCTAAGGCCAATCACTTTAATATTTGTCAACCCTTAAATGAATTCTAGTTTAAATAATTAAACTATATTCCAGTATACAGAGTACTCCTAATAATCCTTAAGCTAGGCCTAGTTTAAGATAAAAGGGTTTTGGAAATCTTAAACTTGCCTTCACTTAAGGTCAACCAAAAACCAACAGTGTAGTGTTCACTGTAGGGTGGGTGGTACCCCCAAACGAGTAGGTACTCAAGTTTGGTTCCTGGATCTCGTACGTACGTTTTAACCCTAGCCACCGGGCATCATACCCGCAAGGCCTAACTTATATAGGTATATCTTAGAGTTCTTCTAGATACCTTTCAAATCAACATTAATATGGGTATATTTTAGAGGTCTTCTAGATATCCTTAACAATACATATTATTTTCACAATCATCAATATATTCATTATGATTTAATCATTCATAATTACTATTTTTAATCAGAACATTTATCAAGATTTAATCATCATAATCATCAACCAATAATCATTACCATAATCATCAATCAACATAATATTTAATAACAATTAGCGGCCTAGCTTCGGGTGTTAACACACTAAATTACCGTCATGCATCACATAACATTTTTTTATTTGTTAAAAACATCATTTTTATTATGGTAAATCATTTTTCCAATGATCATAATCAATTGGTGGATTTTAGAGCATATATTTTCAGAATATTTTCGGAACAGGATCTGGACTTGAGGAAAATTGAGTTTTATATTTTAAATAATCAATTAAATGCTAAAAATCGATTTTATATTTTAATTAATCCATTAATTGCTAAAAATCGATTTTTATAATTTAAATAATCAATTAATTGCTAAAAATCGATTTTTATAATTTAAATAATCAATTAATTGTTAAAAATCGATTTTTATAATTTAAATAATCAATTAATTGCGAAAAATCGATTTTTAGTTTCGAAATAATCGATTAATACTTTTTAAATCGATTTTTATATTTTAAATAATCGATTATATACTGACTTCGAACATCCTCGTCTGGACATAATTCTAATCGATTCTTAAGAAGTAAATAATCGATTTTCGGCTACTGTTCATCATCTTCTTTCTCTGGTCAGTTTCGAGTATTATCATTTTTAATCACCAAACTTCAATTAAATTATATAGAAAGATTCTCCCAGGTTCATATATCATTTTAGAATCATTAAAACATATTTTTAACATCAAATTGAAGATTTATGATTCTTGGTTCTTCGAACATGTCAAACACAAAACTCAACCAAACGACTATTTATGAACGTAGAAACGACCTATATGAACATTCTAGTCATTAGATATATCAACGGGCTTACCTCGAAGCTAAATGAAGGTTTTGACGATTTTCCGGTGAAACTTCCGGCGAGGTTTGTGGCTAGCTCCGGCGACCTTTCACCGATATGATAGCACCACTACGTTCTCCTCACTCCCAGCAACAGAATTGATATGAGAATTGTGAGAAATGATGGAGAATTAAGGGAGTGAAGGTGGTCTTATATAGGGAAGGAATGGAGGAAGAAACCAAACAATGTTGCGTAGGATTTGCGTAGGAACGTATCTTTGATCGGCTGAGTGGAGTAGGAGGCGCCGTCCCTGATTGGGACTAATTTTGGTCCCATTCGGGTACACTTTTTGGTCCAACTTTCTCCGAATTGAATTTCGTTTGCATCGTTGCGATCGGACAGTTAAACTCTATCCAACGATATAATTTTTACATTTATTTGTTATACTTTTCCGACATCATATTTTTGGTGTTTGACTTTGACAGAGTCAAAATTGGTTTAATTGACCTTTACTCAAAAAGGTTCTCACATTTAATTCATATTATTTATTTCCATGATTTATTTCAATAAATCATTTCAAAGTTCACATTACAAACAACTTCTTCATTTATTCTTAATTTAGGTCTGTACTCAGGTTCCCAATCAAGATCACACAATAAGTCAACAGGTTGGATTTATCTCTTTGAGATTTAACCCAATTATGTTTATTGGACATCAATATATATTTTATTTCGGCCCAAAGCCCAACAATAATTTATTTTAATCAAAACAAATTTTGTTTAATTGAATATTTAATTCAATAAATTTTAGGGTATATTTTGGGGCGTTACAATTTCTATATTTGAATTCGAATATATTATTAACATATTGAATCGAATACATATATATTCGTATTCGTGTTCGTTTTCTTTCGAATTCTAATAAATATTTATATTCGTATTCATATTCATTTTTTTAAAATATGAATAATTGAATTCTAAATCTCTTCAATCAAATTGTTTTAAATCTCTAAATTCATACTCCCTCCGTCCCGCAGTATTAATCCAGTTTTGACTTTTAGAACCGTTCATCTAAGCACTTTGGCTCATCAAATTCTCTCAATGTATAAGTCTGAATATAGTCATGTGTGATCTTGTTTGATTTGTCTTAACATATAGATTATTAATATATAATTTCTATAATTTTTTAATATATAAATTACAAGATAAAATTGATTAAAGAAGTATATTGGATGATGTGTAAAAATGAAAGTGAACAAATATTCTAGTATAGAGGTAGTATCATTCTTCTCGGATTTCATAACTCATACTTTTATTTCAAAACTCATAGACTTGCCCTTAAGTTACAAAATATGGAGTAGAATTATTACTCCATAGCAGATATAGAAATAGAAATACTAGCAGATAATTTACGCTCGTAAAAAAAAAAACTGAAAAATGGTTTGGTCTGAATTGTCCGGCACTTTGAAAGTTATTTACCAACAGCAGCCATCAACCGCACGATCACCATTTCCGCAGATTCTCCCTCCGATCTCCTCTCCCTCCGATCCGAAACCCTCATCGCCATGGGAGAATCTCGTGACTCCTTCGTCCACCACGCTCTTGGCGGCGGCGCAGGTTCTCTTCTCCACCACTTTACGCTTTGAATCATCTGCGAAATTTCTTCTTATCATTGATTGTATTCAATTGCATAACAAGCACAGCACTACTATTGATCGAATTCAATTTTCATGCGCGAGCTCCATTGCATCTTAGCTTTTAGAACTCCGTATCTTTTCCGATTAGTCACTTAATTGAGCATCCCTGTGCTTTGTGTGGATTAGTAAATTCGTGTTTTTACTGTTCTGATCGGCGGAGTGTGCGATCCGTCTCTGTGGCAGTTGCAGATGTGCTGTTATGGAGGTCATGGCATGGGAGTGTCACTGTGCTCTTAGGTTCCTCTGCTTTTTGGTTCCTATTTGAACGGGCCGGCTATAATATACTGTCCTTTGTCTCCAATGTGCTTTTGCTACTAGTTGTAATCCTCTTTTTCTGGGCCAAATCTGCTTCACTTCTCAACAGGTAATGCTTAATCGTCCCTCCTGGTATTTAGGCTATATTATATGGTGAATATCTAACAGTACTTGAACTAGTGGGGATCTCACTGTGTATTCTATTGCGTTTCCTTGATTGAAATTTGAAAATAACCTTCGTGTATGGTAAATGGTAGTGATTGTCAGGAAATAAAGATATGTGTTCAGAGGTCTTTGTTTTTTTTATTTTATTTTGAGGGAATACAGGTCTTTGTTTAATTTGGGTTTTTATTCTTTGTTTGGTTTTGGGAAAAAACAGAAAAGAAAAATGAGTGATAAAGGGATGGAGAAGAGAGAAACAGGGCAGATTTGGAGTGTTGTTGGGTAGG